GCTACTGCTTCTCGATGAACAACACAGTGTGGCCGAAATTTTTAAATCGGACCATAAACAAAGATTCTACAGGGTACGGGACTAAAATTAACGTGTTAAAGTGACCTTGACCTTGACCTTGACCTATGACCTTGACCTCGGATTGTTTCCAATGTCTACTGCTTCTCAATGAGGGAACACAGTGGTGGCCGAAATTTTCCGATAGCTCCAAAAATGAAGATTTTATAGGGTACGGCGATTTGTAGTGACCTTGACCTTGACCTATGACCTTGACCTCGGTTTTTTTCAATGTGCTTCTGCTTCTCGATGAGACGAACACACTGGTGGTCGAATTTTTCAAATCGGACCATACAAAGATTTCACGGGTACGCAGTATTTTGACCTCTCAAGGTCAAACGGTTTGACCTAGGAAAAAAAGGTCACCATTTTCGAACTCAGCGTGCCATGGGCTATCTGTATGCCAATTTTGAGCGAAATCATTACTCGAATTTGAATCCGAATTTTAACGTTTAAAGTGACCTTGACCTTGACCTATGACCTTGACCTCGGATTTTTTCGAATGTGCTACTGCTTCTCGATGAGACGAACACAGTGGTGGCTGAAATTTTCCGATAGCTCCAAAAATGAAGATTTTATAGGGTACGGGGACTAAAATTAACGTTTAAAGTGACCTTGACCTTGACCTATGACGTTGACCTCGGATTTTTTCGAATGTGCTACTGCTTCTCGATGAGACGAACACAGTGGTGGCCGAAATTTTCAAATCGGACCATAAACAAAGATTCTACAGGGTACGGGGTCTAAAATTAACGTTTAAAGTGACCTTGACCTTGACCTATGACCTTGACCTCGGATTTTTTCAAATGTGCTACTGCTTCTCGATGAGACGAACACAGTGGTGGCCGAAATTTTCACATCGGACCATAAACAAAGATTCTACAGGGTACGGGGACTAAAATTAACGTTTAAAGTGACCTTGACCTTGACCTCGGATTTTTTCGAACGTGCTACTGCTTCTCGATGAGACGAACACAGTGGTGGCCGAACTTTTCAAATCGGACCATAAACAAAGATTCTACAGGGTACGGGGACTAAAATTACTTTTAAAGTGACCTTGACCTTGACCTATGACCTTGACCTCGGATTTTTTCGAATGTGCTACTGTTTCTCGATGAGAAGAACACAGTGGTGGCCGAAATTTTTAACTCGGACCATAAACAAAGATTCTACAGGGTACGGGGACTAAAATTAACGTTTAAAGTGACCTTGACCTTGACCTATGACCTTGACCTCGGATTTTTTCGAATGTACTACTGCTTCTCGATGAGACGAACACAGTGGTGGCCGAAATTTTTAACTCGGACCATAAACAAAGATTCTACAGGGTACGGGGACTAAAATTAACGTTTAAAGTGACCCTGACCTTGACCTATGACCTTGACCTCGGATTTTTTCGAATGTGCTGCTGCTTCTCGATGAGACGAACACAGTGGTGGCCGAAATTTTCAAATCGGACCATAAACACAGATTCTACAGGGTACGGGGACTAAAACTAACGTTTAAAGTGACCTTGACCTTGACCTATGACCTTGACCTCGGATTTTTTCAAATGTGCTACTGCTTCTCGATGAGACGAACACAGTGGTGGCCGAAATTTTCAAATCGGACCATAAACAAAGATTCTACAGGGTACGGGGACTAAAATTAACGTTTAAAGTGACCTTCACCTTGACCTATGACCTTGACCTCCGATTTTTTTTTCGAATGTGCCACTGCTTCTCGATGAGACGAACACAGTGGTGGCCGAAATTTTTAAATCGGACCATAAACAAAGATTCTACAGGGTACGGGGATTAAAATTAACGTTTAAAGTGACCTTGACCTTGACCTATGACCTTGACCTCGGATTTTTTCAAATGTGCTACTGCTTCTCGATGAGACGAACACAGTGCTGGCCGAAATTTTTAAATCGGACCATAAACAAAGATTCTACAGGGTACGGGGATTAAAATTAGCGTTTAAAGTGACCTTGACCTTGACCTATGACCTTGACCTCGGATTTTTTCGAATGTGCTACTGCTTCTCGATGAGACGAACACAGTGGTGGCCGAAATTTTCAAATCGGACCATAAACAAAGATTCTACAGGGTACGGGGACTAAAATTAACGTTTAAAGTGACCTTGACCTTGACCTATGACCTTGACCTCAGATTTTTTTCAAATATGCTACTGCTTCTCGATGAGACGAACACAGTGGTGGCCGAAATTTTTAAATCGGACCATAAACAAAGATTCTACAGGGTACGGGGACTAAAATTAACGTTTAAAGTGACCTTGACCTTGACCTATGACCTTGACCTCGGATTTTTTCAAATGTGCTACTGCTTCTCGATGAGACGAACACAGTGGTGGCCGAAATTTTTAATTCAGACCATAAACAAAGATTCTACAGGGTACGGGGACTAAAATTAACGTTTAAAGTGACCTTGACCTTGACCTATGACCTTGACCTCGGATTTTTTCGAATGTGCTACTGCTTCTCGATGAGACGAACACAGTGGTGGCCGAAATTTTCAAATCGGACCATAAACAAAGATTCTACAGGGTACGGGGACTAAAATTAACGTTTAAAGTGACCTTGACCTTGACCTATGACCTTGACCTCGGATTTTTTCGAATGTGCTACTGCTTCTCGATGAGACGAACACAGTGGTGGCCGAAATTTTCAAATCGGACCATAAACAAAGATTCTACAGGGTACGGGGACTAAAATTAACGTTTAAAGTGACCTTGACCTTGACCTATGACCTTGACCTCAGATTTTTTCAAATGTGCTACTGCTTCTTGATGAGACGAACACAGTGGTGGCCGAAATTTTCAAGTCGGACCATAAACAAAGATTCTACAGGGTACGGGGACTAAAATTAACGTTTAAAGTGACCTTGACCTTGACCTATGACATTGACCTCGGATTTTTTCAAATGTGCTACTGCTTCTCGATGAGACGAACACAGTGGTGGCCGAAATTTTCCGATAGCTCCAAAAATGAAGATTTTATAGGGTACGGCGATTTTTAAAGTGACCTTGACCTCGGATTTTTTTGAATGTGCTACTGCTTCTCGATGAGACGAACACACTGGTGGTCGAATTTTTCAAATCAGACCATAAACAAAGATTCTACAGGGTACGCAGTATTTTGACCTCTCAAGGTCAAACGGTTTGACCTAGGAAAAAAAGGTCACCATTTTCGAACTCAGCGTGCCATTGGCTATCTGTATGCCAATTTTGAGCGAAATCATTACTCGAATTTGAATCCGAATACGAATACGACGCTAACTTTATGGACATCTACTCATGACTCATGAGACGTCGATGTCTAGGACCGGCCGACTTGGGCCTTGGGGGCCTATCCCTGCCTCCTACGCATGTCAAAATGAAAATAAAACAAGGCAAGTGAAAACACCAGTCAAGGCAAAAAAGGTAAAATAAAGAAAAACAGTCCAGTAAGCAGTAAATACAAATAATTCACGGAACAGCCCAACTTACGTGGTTACTCCGCAATGTGTCGAAAAAGAAGGAAGTAGGAAATGGCGTAGTGCTGTAATAGCTTGAACAGAAAATAATTTTGTCAAAGTTTATTTTCCTCGTATAATTTCACTTTTAGAAAGTTACTCGAATATTATTTGTTTAATAATTTTAAAATAAATATAAACAAAATATTCATTTACATTCAATCAAATATTACATATTGTCCTCTACGGTTGCCATGGAAACTGACACTGCTTGTTTACAAAATGTGATACTGGCGCACCATGCGCCAATTAAGGGTACTGAGTGGGAAGAAGTGGGTGGGATAAAATAAATTGTTTTTAATTATAGTCGCTCATGCGAAGTAAATGTCAAACAAATATTAGCTGCACTATTATTGTTTGGAGCTTACCCACTAATTTCCATCTCATTCTCATTACCGTGAAGTAGGTTCTATCAGCAACATTTTGCCTGGCTAGGTCCCTTTTTCTGAAGGTGTGTACCTACCTAACCTACATGTAAATGATTTATTTTAGGCTGTTATCCTTTTGTTTATCCATTTTTTGAATTTTTACCCAGCATGACAATTTTCCAGTGAGAAAAAATGCTGAATGCTTGCCGTCTGATTGATCAATGCCCATGAACTTTGGTTGATCAAATAATTGGAATTATATTCAGTTACATGCTTTTTTGTATTTAAGGGAGACCAGTTAGAACTTAGAAGTGTGCAGTACATCAGCCAATCAGGATGGCAGCAGTAGCTGAGGAGGCCCCTGCTGTTGGGGCACTTGACGCACCTGAGACTGACGAAGAGCATGCTGCGGAAGACGGCAAGAAGACCATCATCTCGCTGGGCGAGCTGGTCGACCTGGCTCTCTGCACCCCAGAGGTATGGTGGACATGTAACTCTGCAGGAGCACTGCCAAGTTCCATTAATGTTTATGCTGTGCAATTTATTTGCTGTAAAACATGCAATTCAATAGGTTAGTCAATGTGAGCGCCTGCCTCCACATTATGTATCTGACAGCCCTCATGATTCCCCTTGCAGCCGGGAGCAGTGAACTTCAACCTGCTGCGGGCTGTGCTGCATGCCCTTGTCCAGCGGCTGGACCTGGTCGACATCAAGGCTGAGATCCTGGACGAGGACACTGACAATGTGTTCTCTCAGATTGTAAGCAGGAAAAGAATGATGACAGGCAGACTGGACTGAACCTGAGAAGAGAAGGAAGGTCCATTTGTCATAACTAAGGGAGCCAGTTTGTCTGAGGGACAACTGCAAGGGATTCAAATTAACCACTGAGTGTTTAATGGCTTAGTTTTGTCGTTCTTGGATTGATAAATTACAGGTTTGTAGTTGGTACAATATATACACCCTCAATATCACGCGTCTCGCCCTCTCTACTTTCCACTGTATCTTATTTCCCGCCTCCACGTACGTTTCTCAGATGGAGAATGCGGAGAAGCTGGGACTGAAGGACATGCGAGCGCGCCAGTCGGGCAGCGCCCGGGCCTCGGACGGCGAGAAGTCTCAGCGGAGAGGTGAGCCGACCCAGCACGGTCACCGCCGCGAACACGATGCAGTGCGGGGGGGGGGGAGACCGCTACGACCGAGTTATGGACGGGAGGGTACTGTCGCCTTTATGTTTGTAGGCTGTTCGCTCCTTTGATCCTTTCCGATAAATTGTTAAACGATTATTTTCCTTGAATGAAGTTGGCTTTTAATTGAACATATTAAGTCAGGATTTGCTTATTTTTTCTCGGTCGTGTCAAACTATCGCCCCTTCCATCAGATGCCGCGGCTCCCAGCGGCCACCGCTATCAGCTGGCACTGTTCAGCTCCGCTGTACGCCGGCAGCCATTCGTCTGTAGTCCCCCGCGGCTGCACGCTGACGCCCCTCCCTCGGCTCTGTACAGGCGAGTCCAAGGAGCGGCGCCGCCACAAGTCGCGCCGCTCGGACCGCTCCCGCGGCGGATCCTCGCGGCGCGGCTCCTCGGAGCGCGCTCCGTCCCACTCCGCGGCCGGCGACGAGCAGCGGCCGGCGGCCGGCGCCCCCGGCTCGGGCGCCGCGCCACCGGCCGCGCCCTCGGGCGGCGCGCGGCGCAGTCGGAGCGGCAGCGGCGCGGCCGGCGCCGGCAGCGGCGCCGAGCACTCGGACGAGTTCGAGGACGTGCGGGAGACGTTCTGCCCGCCGGACTCTGCCGGCCACCCGGACGTGGCCCGCTCGCGGTCGCTCTCCGGTCAGCGCGTGTTGGCTGAGGACGGCGAGGTGACGGCGGAGACGGCCGGCTCGGCGGGCTCTCGGCGCGCCTCCTCCAGCGGGCCGCGCCGCTCGGCCTCCGCGGAGGGACGCGCCGAGCCGGCCGAGGGAGAGGGAGAGCCGGCCGAGGGAGCCGGAGCGCCCTCCGAGTCACACCGGCTCAGCAGGGACCGACGGAGCTCCTCTGACTCACTGTGAGTGGCCGAGTCACTGACTCACCATCAGTGGCCGGAGAGACTGATCTCTGGGCTGACTGTATTGGGCTGTCTGTATGTGTTCATAGTGGGACTCTCTAGGCTGATTGTAATGGGGCAGCTGTGTGTTACTGCTGGGACTAACTGGGCTAGGTGGGATCGGGAATATTGTGTGTGCTAATTGCTGAGACTGTGGCTGTCTGTATTTACCAGGGTGGATCATCGTTTCTGCTGCAGGTAGGATAAAAATGTCAGGCTCCACCAGCTGGCGACGGTGGTTGCGTGGCCAGTGCGGATCTGGGTTGCCTTTTGTTTGCCATGAAATAGTGCAATACACATTTGCATTTAAGGTGGTCTGTGTGGCGATTGTCGCATCAGTCTTTCCTGTTATCCCTCTCCTCACACCCGTCATGACCTGACCTCTGACCTCTCCCCTCCCCTCCCGTCCCCCTCAGCGGCCTGACCTGACCTCTTCCCTCCCCTCCCCTCCCATCCTCTCAGCGGTCTGTCCAGCGGCCTGTCGAGCGCCTCGGACTCGGAGTCTCGCGCTCGCCAGGGCAGCCGCAAGGCCACGCTCTCAGAGCTGGCTTCGGAGCGTCTGCGCCGCTCCGGACGCCAGTCGGCCGTCTCCATCAGCTCCAACATAGAGGGCACGGCCGTGCTCTCAGACTACACCAACCTGGACCGGCTGGAGAAAAAGGTGCTGATGATAGGGGCCGGGGAGAGCGAGAGCGAGGGGCTGTGGCGGGGAGAGGGGGCGACTGAGAGCTGAGAACACAGGGAGGATGCACGCAAGACCCATTTATGTGTAAAGGTATACGGATTCTTAGGAGACCCTCATTCCTCATTTTGTCCTTCATATACCTTGTATTCTATTCCTCATTGCGCTTTAAATATTCCCTCAATAGATCTCCTCGCCTTGCATTCCCCATCCTAGCCAGTGACCACACCTCCTACTAAACCCTATCCATTATCTCCTCCCAAGTCTCGATCTGGGCTTCGTTTCGTTTCGTTTCGGGCTTCGCCTTACGTCTCGATCCTCGTCCGTCCACATTCCTGCCAATTCCCTCCTACCCTGACCTCCCGTCCCCCTCCCGCGCCGCTGCTCCTGTTGCCAGATGGCCGACATACAGCAGAAGATGGAGACCCTGGAGCTGGCGGACATGCTGCCCAAAGTGCGGGAGCTGCAGAAGGCCATCACCGGTTCCCAGGAGGACGTGCAGGGTCAGACACCGGGGAGGGGAGTGTTGGGGGGGGGGGGGCACAGAGACACCGGGGTGACGGAGAGGCCGAAGGAGGACCGAGGCCGTCACGCGGGGTTGCGTAGGAGACCGGACGTTAGCTGGACCAGGGTGTCAGGGGGTTACGTGAAGGATGAGACGGGAATCAGAGAGGGACCGAAAAGTCAGACAGGGTCCAGGCCTGTAGCAGTCGCTGTGACCTCACTGACGGCATGTCCACTGTCCATACACTCGCCACTCCCCAGGCCTGTGGCAGTCGCTGCAGCCTAACTGACGGCACGTTCATCTGCTCCCCAGGCCTGTGGCAGTCGCTGCAGCCTGACTGACGGCATGTCCAAACACTCCCCAGGCCTGTGGCAGTCGCTGCAGCCTGACTGACGGCATGTCCAAACACTCCCCAGGCCTGTGGCAGTCGCTGCAGCCTCACTGACGGCATGTTCACACACTCCCCAGGCCTGTGGCAGTCGCTGCAGCCTCACGTTCATCTGCTTCCCAGGTCTGTGGCAGTCGCTGTGGCCTCACTGACGGCATGTTCACACACTCCCCAGGCCTGTGGCAGTCGCTGCAGCTGATGAAGAAGGTGGACGCCAATGAGGAGGGTATCGACAAGCTGACGCACGTTATCGAGAACGCCATGGCCAAGCTGAAGAAAGTCCGCAAACACACGGACCGGCTGGACAAACAGCTGGCGGTGAGAGACGGGGAGAAGGGGGACGCAGAAAGGGGAAGGATACAGCCGAGGGAGCGTTTGAGGGAGGGCAAGGGACGCTTTGAGAGTGCGAAAATAGGGAAGGGGCTGTGAGATATCTACACTGTTGTAGGCGAACAATGAATAATGATTGTCTTGTCGATTAAAAAGTAGATCTTTTTATCCGACCTTCGGAATGCAATTATGCGAAAGAAAACGCTTTCCTTCAACTCGGTGTGGACGTACCGAACCGCAACAACAGTGACACTCGTCGCTCGCGTTTTCCAGGATATGATGGGCCACCACAAGTCGAGCTCGCAGTCCAAGTCGAAGACGGACAGCCACAAGCCGGTGACGATGGCGGAGATGGAGACCAAGTACAACGAGATCAAGAGCGTCATCGAGGGACTGATGAGCTCCATGGGACAGGTAAGACGGAGAGAGAAAGAGACAGAAATTGTGGGCGTGGATGCCGGGGACTGGGAGTCACCACAGGCTGCGAGAATTTACCAATAAACTGTGTGGGGCGGACCGGGGATAGATTTTCCTCTCCCCACCCTACCCAACCCCCAGGACCCTAACACCCTCCCATCCCCCAGCACCCAGATAACGCAGTCGCACCTCCCCTGTCCCCCAGGACCCTAACACGCCCCCCCCCGGCCCCCCCCCCCCAGGACCCTAACGCGCCTCCCCCTGTCTCCCCTTCCCGTCCCCCAGGATCCTAACGCGCCCCCTCCCGTCCCCCCAGGACCCTAACGCGCCGCCGGGTGAGGACGGCGAGGACTCGTCGGACTCTCTGCGCCGGGTCGGCGCCGGCATCGTCACCTGGAACGTGCTGGAGAGCGCGCTGGAAAACATCCGCGGCGAGGTCAAGGAGATCAGCGAGGTCAACGACCAGGCCCTCAGCTCGGTGGAGGAGCAGCAGACCGAGGCGAGACAGCAGGTGTCGGAACAGTGGGGAGACGGGGGGAGACCGGAGTAGGGGAGGCAGAGGGAGAGGGGAGGGTGGGAGCATTGGGATTTGGGATATCAGGGGAGGAGAGAGACTGGTATTCAAAACAGCAACACTGCGCTCCATAGCACACCTTATTTATTGTAATCCCTTAGCGAGATTGTGTTGCCTAACATACTGATCAAACGTGTCATCACCGAGCGGCGTCGCACAACACGTCCCCCCGCCCCGCCGCCCCACTGACACCTGCTGCGCGCTGACGGTGCCTCAGGAGCTGCGGGAGTCTGCCGCCGCCGACCACAGCACCCAGGTGTCCAAGGTGAAGCAGCTGCTGGCCAACCTCAGCCGCCTGGTGGACAAGCACCGCGCCCTCGAGAAGCGCGTCGTGCAGATGGAGGAGTCGATGGGCGACGGCTTCTCGGACAAGGTACTGGAGCAGCTGACACTGCTCAAGGCGTCCGCGTCCCAGATCCAGGACCTGCGGAACAAACTCAGCTCCAGCACCCAGCCGGTCGGCGGCGGCGCCGGAATGGGCAGCGGCGGCGGCGGAATGGGCAGCGGCGGCGGCGGAATGGCCGGCAGGGCGGGCGCGGCGGCCAGGGGCGGAATGGGCCACGGCTGGAGTGAGCTGGACGTGGCCGACTCTGCCGGCTCCATGGGCCACATGGTGTCGGACGATCTGTCTCTGAACCTGTCCACGCTGCGCGAGCCGTCTCAGATGGACCTGAACCATCTGTCCGACTGGCTCAACTACAATAAGGCCCGCATGGAGCAGCTCGAGAAGGCGCTCGTCTCGCAGTCGGAACAGGTGAGAGGGGGAGAGGGAGGGAGGGAGCTCGAGAGAGGGAGAGGGAGACAGGGAATTACATCTACTGTTAGGGAGTGTATTATTGGCATCTGCTAGCATTGGTAATGAGTGTAGCAAAAATGAATACATTGATATAGACTGCCGCATCAAACAAAATATGTGGCGATATGTCAAGTACCGATCGAGATCATCAATCGTGACCTCTTGCTGTATAATAATTACCCCAGTCGATTCTTTTCACTGACCGTTCACTTTATTCCACCAAGTTTATCGTCAAATCTGTCGCTTTTGAATCTGTCACCCCGGTTCGCATAATTTCATGTTCACCCCCAGCTGTTCATCTCGTTCACTAGGTTCGCCTTTGTTCAGTTTCGTTTCTTTTCCCCGTTTACAGGTGCGCGATTTCGGCGACCGTCTGGGTGACCAGGTGGTCTCGTTCCGCGACAAACTGGAGCGAGTCGAGCGAGAGCTGGCCGGCATGCTGGGACGAATCACGTCCGCCGCGCAAAAGTCAGGTACTTACGTCTGCCGCCGGGGAATTGGGTGTTTGCTTCTGATAACATGGATGGCTACCTACTTTTAAAATGGTTCGTGGGTTCCAAGCCGAGGTTTTTAAACGGTATGTTGATGTCCCTTATCCGTATGTCGTGAACAGCTTACTCGCCTTGAAACACGCATTGTATTCCGGCTAAGGACAGCTTTGAGGGCACACTCCCTGTCACCCATTGGATCAGCCTCCACTGGATCGTACACGGCCGTTCGTATACCATTTATACGCTCGAGTCGAGTGTGATTTTCGACAAACTTCTAGAAAACGCGACACCAAACAACGTAATTAATTAACGCGTCTCACATGTTTCGCAGGCATGTCCCGTGAGGACTCGCAGGCGCTGCACGACGCCTACGCCAAGATCCAGACCCTTCAAATGGACGTGGAAGCGCTCAGTAACGTCTCCAAGAAGATCGTCTCCGACCGCGGCCAGATCGACGACGAGCTGTCGATGCTGATCCGCGCCCTGGAGGAGCTCAAGGAGTGCAAGGTGGACCGGGCCACCCTGGACGAGCTCATCGAGACAAAGGCCGACCGCTCGAGCGTCGAGAAGAAGGTGTCCAGCTGGCAGTTTGAGCAGGCGTGCCAGGAGCTCAGCGAGGGCCTGGGCACCATGCTGGAGAAGATGGGCTCACAGGAAGTGGACTGGTCGCGCGCCGTGGACGAGATTAACGCCGATCTGCACCGCAAGCTGGACAGAATCGAGCTAGCGCCGCTGCGCCGGTACATCAACACGCGACTGAAGAACATCATGACCAAGCTGAACCGGCTGATTGCCGAGGACGAGAGCCCCGACGCGTGCACGACAAGGAGGAAACTGGTTCGGTGAGTGGGGGGGAGGGAGGTAGAGAGGGAGAGGGGGAGGTGGATTGACAAGGCTAAAACAACGCGTTAGGAAGCTGCAAGTAAGAAGTCGTCCATTGGATTATGTTATAGGTATGTGTATGGTATGTGTATCGAAGGCGGATCCATGTACTATGAGCCACCAATTACCGAATCTTCATTACCTTTGCCGATTTATTCGATTGACGAATTACTCTTGTCCATGCAGCGCAGTATATCGTTTCCGACGCCGATTTTTGAGCGCCTCGCTGTGTTCCAGGAACCTGAACTGTCTGTCCTGTGACGACCCGCGGAAGATCACTGGCCTGACGTCGGCGCCTAATGTACCGCTGCTGGAGGCCTTCCCACCGAGTGTAGGTGACCGGCACCAGGTCACCTACCGGCTGGGGAACATCCGCCGACAGCAGCAGATGTGAGCGGGACGGTCAGACGGGGGGGGGGGGGGCAGGTCCAAGGATAGATACGAGAGCAGCGTGATGAGGAACACTTTACGAGTGACGTGATAAAGAAATGCCGGCCATGATTCTGGCCAAGGTCCAAGGAGGTCCATGTCTAAGGAGAGATTCGAGAGCAGCCTGCCATGAGGGAGGAACACTCGCCAAGTGACGTGATAAAGGAATGCGATTCTGGCTCAAGCCGTACACAACCGCACGCACATTGAAGGTAGATACAAAATATTTTAAACGCAGTGTTCTACTTCCATTTTGTCTAACTCCTGATCTTCACTCTGACCTCTGATCTGACCTGTGACCTGCACTGTCCGCCCCCAGGCGCTGTGAGCCCTACAAGGACATGACCGGTCACCAGGGGGTGTTCCGAAACCACATCAAGAACGAGATTGAGGCCATGACCCACCGTGGGATTCCGCACCACCCCAACTGTCCGCTCTACATGAACAGGTGAGCGGCCAGTGTCAGTCCAAAACAAACACACGCAGCGCGCGAGGATATACCGAGCGATAAAATTACGACGCGTTGAGTTGGAATATTCGCGCACGATGGACCTTTGAGTACCATTACTGAATCATAAATATAGTTAATGAAATTCCAGAAAAGATGCGGTACAAAAAAAGGAAACGATGCTCATTACGATGAACTTACGCACACTACAGGCGAATACGGATCACACGGAGGCTCTGACCAAACAGTTGACCAGTATGTCGTCACGCCCCCCCCCCCTCGCCCTCAGGGCGCCGCACGGCCGGTGCACGTGCGTGGCCACGCGGTTCTGTGGCGGTTCACACACCAAAATCAACTGCGTGGACACCCGCCAGCGGCGCATCGGCCTGGGGGCTCCTCTGCTGCCGTTCGGGGCGGCCATGGCCGGACAGCCGGCCTCGGGCAGGGGCAGCCAGGAGCGCGTGACCAGGTAAGGGGAGGGAGAGAGAGAGAGAGAGAGAGAGAGAGAGAGAGAGAGAGAGAGAGAGAGAGAGAGAGGGGGAGGGAGAGAGAGAGAGAGGGAGAGAGAAAGGGAGGAGGGGAATCTCCACTATGTGAAGCCAGGCACAGGTGAGGTGGTAAGAGCAAAGGAAGAGGGCTGCAGGCTGGGTCTTTATTTTGCATTGTTCCATCAGGCATAAACCCTGCCTACCGAGGTAAGCACTGAGGTCTATGCATCAGGATTTGACATAATGCTTAAATCTGTTGTTGAGTATCTTGGTTCAACCACAATGAATCGGCTTGGCATCTTGTCACGAGTTTGATCAGTCAAGTTACCACCCGATATCGTCGCGCGATAGCATTGTTTGATCGCGTACACGCTCACTTATCACAATAGAAGTTTCGCGTGACCGCAGATCGCTCCTGCCTTATATCCGTGGTCTCTGATAGGAAGTTTTTATCAAAGACTTTAAAACATACTCGCGGCTGTAACACAATGAGCATCCATTTTCCCGTCAAACACTTAAGTCATAACGCTAAAAATATAAAGATTGATCGAATTGATCAACAATCCATCTGTTTGTTAAAGTGCATCCCTCTCCTCCCCCAGCTCTCCCCTCACTCCCCTGCTCTCTCCCCAGGACGGCGTCGAGCGGCACGCAGCGCGCTGGGGCAGCTGCCGGCGGCCCGCGCCGGCCCGGCTCCCGGACCGGCCTGCCACCGTCCTCGGCCGGCTCTGGGCCGCGCCAGGTACGCTCGACCGGCAGCGGACTGCGCCAGAAGCGCAGCGGGTCCGGACTGGGCACCAAGTCGGCGCCAGAGTTCCCCGTGCCGTTCGAGCCGCCCGCAGAGGGGAGGGCAGAGGGAGGGGAGGCTGCCCCGGCGCCGGTGGAGGCGGCGGAACCAGCGGCAGGTCCAGTGGAGAAGACGGAGGGAGCGGAGGTGAAGACCGAGACTGTTGAGGAGGTGAAACCGGAGCCGGTGGAGGAGCCGAAAACGGAGCCGGAGCCGGAGCCGGCGGCGGCGGAGGGAGCCGCGGAGCCCAAGCCGGAGCCTGAGGGGGCGGCGGCAGAGGAGCCGGCTCCGGCTCAGGACGCCCCGGAGGAGACTCCGGCTCCGGCGGCGGAGGGGGCGGCCGCCGCCGAGTCTCCGGCGCCGGCCGCCGAGGCTGAGGGAGAGCCCGCCGCGCCGCAGGAGACGCCAGCTCCAGAGGGCGAGACGGAGACAGGAGACGCCGCTCCTGCTGAGGAGACAGGAGGAGGTCAGGAGACAACAGGTCAGGAGGCGCCCTCAGCAGAGGGCGGGACTGAGCCGGCGGCAGAGACCGCCGAGGCGGCGCCAGCGGAGACTGCCGAGGCGGCGCCTGCGGAAACAGAGGCGGCGCCTGCGGAGCCTGAGGCGGCGCCCGCGGAGACTGAAACCAGTGCCGCAGCTGAACAGAAGCCAGATGAAGCTCCGGCACCGACCGAAGGAGGCGACAGTTAGGTCGACTGATTCTCGGCCGCTGGTCGCTGGAAATGGTCCCTGTTCCGTCTTGTCCCCGATCTGAAACGACTGATTGCTGATGTACTGCTAGCTAGTCTAGTCACGTTAAAACTGTGATAAAACCCGACCACTACGAAACGATCTCCCGAAACGAAACAATGACAACGAAACTGGTGCAATAAATTGGTCAGTATCACCGGTTTTTAGTGGTCTGGGGATTGAAATTTCGCGAGCATGTCACGGATGAAGGATTCGCGTTTTAGTTCATTCCTACAGACAGGAAAGCAGCTTTCCCGACGGGGTCATAGATCAAACGCAATGTGCATCTGTGTAAATACTTTATTATCATAATCTGAGATACGTTTTCACTGCAGCCTCAAACACTAACCAACTTAATGATTTTACCGCTCAGCAAAACGACTAGAGTCGATTAACCTCATCCCTCAGACCCACCATCACTACACAACTCGTCCCTCCCACAGGAAAACTCCCTCTCTCAGGGCCGGAGGCGCGCCAGCCGGTTCCTGGCCATACCCCAGCGGCACTCCACATACACTCCGCCGGCGCAGCAGAGGTGCGGCTCAAAACTAACCGTGTGCTTCTCGGCCAGGTCACACACGTGCTGGTACATTGCGGTGACCAGTCCGTCGGTGACATCCTGTCCCCAGGCGGCGCAGGCCAGGTCGCCGAGCCGTGCGCCGTCCAGCTGGGCGTCCCACGCGCCGGCCGCCTCCAGCACATCTCGGCTGGTGTGGCACTCCTCCTCGCAGAGATGCTCCGCCTCGTGGTCGCAGCCGAACGCCGGCAGCGGCGGCAGCTCGACCAGCGTGAACACGTGGTCGGAGGAATGGTCGTGGGTGCCCAGGGAGCAGACGCAGCCGAAGGCCGGGTCGTGGGTGGGCGGGGCTGGCGACGGCGTGGTGGGCGCCGGGGTGGTAGGGGGCGCTGGAGTGGTGGTAGCTTCAGGGGTGGTTGTGGTAGGTTCAGGGGTAGTTGTAGTAGGTTCAGGGGTAGTTGTAGTAGGTTTAGGTGTTGTCGTAGGTTCCCAGGTAGTTGTAGTAGGCTCAGGTGCAGCTGTAGTGGGTTCAGATGTAGTCGTAGGTTCAGGGGTAGTTGTAGTAGGTTCCGGGGTAGTTGTGGTAGGTTCAGGGGTAGTTGTAGTAGGTTCCGGAGTAGTTGTGGTAGGTTCCGGGGTAGTTGTGGTAGGTTCAGGGGTAGTTGTGGTAGGTTCCGGGGTAGTTGTAGTAGGTTCAGGGGTAGTTGTAGTAGGTTCCGGAGTAGTTGTGGTAGGTTCCGGGGTAGTTGTGGTAGGTTTCGGGGTAGTTGTAGTAGTTTGAAGTGTAGTTGTAGTGGGTTCCGGAGTAGTTGTGGTAGGTTCCTGGGGAGTTGTAGTGGAGACCGGTACGAGGCCGCACGGATGGTCCAGACCGTCCGGACCATGGACCGTGATGTCATCGATGGCCACCTGGTCCAATTGGTCCAGACCGCGACCGCCAAAAATTGACAGCTGCGGGGCAGAGAGGGCACGGTTAGAGAAGGTAACAGGGAAAACTCGTCCCACAGAAAAGAGAAAACAGAACATCATGTTGGCTTGGCACCCAGAGGGTGAACAGTCCTAAGGCCTGTGCCGTCAAGTACAAGCACCATAACAGAACAGCGTCCACAAGCCTCGGTGAATCAGACATTTCTCGATCATTTTCATGACACAGAATACACAAACCTCCCAGATATCGATGGCCCGAAGCAGTATCACAGGCACCACTCGAGTTGGCGGGGGGGGGGGGGTCGATCCGTGTCGATACATGGAGACAGGATAAGGTACGGACGGCTCGGGACGGACTCTAGTGAGGCGAGGTGAGGGGGGGGGGGGGGGGCGGCGAAAACGTCACAACTCACAGCCATCTCGACCTTAACTGCAACTTCTGTCGATAATGCTTTTGTTAGAGCGTGCCATACGCCTATCAAATCTGTAGAGTAATCCTGACATAGAATTTAAAACGCTTATCAGGCTAGACCTGTTTCACAACGCAAGACATTTCCTGCGTGTGTTTCAAACGCTACTGAAGCAATCGGTGGCTGCAATTGCAAAGTGCAAATGCATTAACAGCCTAGGTCGGAAGGTCTGAAAGACTGGTGGTAGGAGTTTCGATAAGATCGGGTCCGAAAAGACCCCACCCTGAAAAGCGCGCAGAAAAGATCCTGACGGACTGGACAGAGACGTGGACGGCTCAGTTGGCTGGAGGCGGGGGAGGGCCAACCGACAGGAGGCGGGGACGGCTCACCTAGCTATATCAATATAGGCGGGGACCGTCTAGAGGCGGGGATGGCCCCACCCGGTTGGGGGCGGGGACGTCTCACCTTGACGGGCTGGCTGGAGGCGGGGATCTGGGCCGTCACCGTGCGCCACTGGTCGTTGGTCGGCCCGCTCTGGTCGCTCAGGTCCAGGAACGGCGTCGGCTGCTCGGCGGTGCCCACCACAAATCGCACGTCCAGCGCGGCCGAGGACACGTACTGGGATCGGATCCAGTAGCGGAGCGAGATGGAGGAGCCGGCCGGGTAGGGGAGCGCCGCGGTCGTCACCAGCCGGCCGTGGACGTACTCTGTGGAGGAGAAGTTGAGCGGCGCCACCCAGGCCAGGTAGCGGCCGCTGGGCTCGGCCGGCAGGTCGGGCACCTGCCGGCGCAGCTCCGAGGCCAGCCGCACCTCCCAGGTACCGGCCTGGTCCAGCGGGTTACCCGACCACAACTGGCCAGAGTCGCCCGACTCGAAATCCTCGCAGTAGTCGGCGGCGGCCAGCGTGGCAGACACCGTCAGCAGAGTCAGAGTCAGACGAGTCATGGCGGAGTCGCGCGGGGAGCTCCGGACGGCAGAGGACCCCGGGGAGGAGTGCCGCGCCCCGCGGGACGGACCGAGCCCCCTCTGGCCCCCCGGAGGACACTCGAGAGCGGGCGAGGTCGGCCCATCGTGGCACCACGGGCAGACAAAGGCATGCGCCAATGGACAGCCTTATCGGCGCTAAACACACACAGCGGCGCACGCATCTGTCCGTTTAAAGTGGCGGCATGTAGTGAGAAAAAACTCGGCACACGAGAGGCAGATGAAGTGTTTGATGGGTTTCTGACGTCAGAAGCCTTCTCAGAAAACTGGCCAGCTTCCGACTTAGGTACTAATGACACCACGTCCGCATGACAACATGCTAGAACTGAAAGGCTTAGGCATGTACCTTTATCATCAATGCATAGCTGCAGAACGTTCCAATACTGAAGAGTGAAGACCGGCACCGCATTTCGCTGCTTTATGGTGGGGCGGTGATAACCTTTTTCTATCATTCATACAGTGGTGTTTCTAGTGTCAAAACATCAACCGTCAGCTACTTGGGTTCATCTCATTTTACATCCTTTACTGTCCAAAATAGAAACTGCCTGCTACGCAACATGTCGCAATCGACAATGCTAGCCATTCATATATTCCGATATCCATTCACCAATATGCCATCCTATGACACCAGTCGTCATCCGACCACGGGAACGGGATTTAAGTTCATCGAGTCAAATAAACACCTCCATCCATACACCAAACCCGGGTATATCGAGAAGTATCTGTATTGATGACCAGCATCTACATATCCAGATACACCTCACCAGACACCGTCCGCCGTTCAGGGTCGGTTTCTGACCAGCCGGTTCCTCGCCATGCTCAATTTACACGCCACGTACGCCCCATCCTTGCAGCAGAGGTGCGGCTCAAAATTGCCCACGTGTTTGCGGTCTCTGTCGCACAGTTTGTCGTACATGCCGGTGACCAGGCCGTGCATCTCGTCGCGGCCCCAGGCGGCGCAGGCCAGGTCACCCAGCCGGCTACCGTTCACCAGGGACTCCCAGTCGCCGGCCGCCTCGAAGATGTCCCGCGAGGTGCGGCACTCCTCCTCGCAGAGATGCTCCGCCTCGTGGTCGCAGCCGTACGACGGGAACGGCCGCAGAGAGACCAGCGTGAACACGTGATCGGAGGAATGGTCGTGGGTACCCAGGGAGCAGACGCACTGCCAACTCGGGGCGGGCGTGGGGGAGCTGGTGGGCGCAGGGGTGGTGGGGGCAGGGGTGGTGGGGGCAGGGGTAGTGGGCGCAGGGGTAGTTGTAGTAGGTTCAGGGGTAGTTGTGGTAGGCTCAGGGGTAGTTGTAGTAGGTTCCGGAGTGGTTGTAGTAGGCTCAGGGGTAGTTCTGGTAGGCTTAGGCGTAGTTGTAGTAGGTTCCGTGGTAGTTGTAGTAGGCTCAGGAGTAGTTGTAGGTTCCGAGGTAGTTGTAGTAGGTTCAGGGGTAGTTGTGGTAGGCTTAGGCGTAGTTGTAGTAGGTTCCGGGGTAGTTGTAGTGGGCTCAGGAGTAGTTGTAGGTTCCGGGGTGGTTGTAGTAGGTTCAGGGGTAGTTGTGGTAGCTTCAGGGGTAGTTGTAGTAGGTTCCGGAGTAGTCGTGGTAGGTTCCGGGGTAGTTGTGGTAGGTTCCGGGGTAGTTGTGGTAGGTTTCGGGGTAGTTGTAGTAGTTTGAAGTGTAGTTGTAGTGGGTTCCGGAGTAGTTGTGGTAGGTTTTTCGGTAGTTGTCGTGGAGACCGGTACGAGGCCGCACGGATGGTCCAGACCGTCCGGACCATGGACCGTGATGTCATCGATGGCCACCTGGTCCAATTGGTCCAGACCGCGACCGCCGAAAATGGACAGCTGCGGGGCAGAGAGGGCACGGTTAGAGAAGGCACGTGCGGCATCAAGCATAAAATGTCTTACGTGGCGACAGAAAGGCTGGCAGAATACTCTAGGTTAGGTTAGGTTAGATGCATTATAACGAATGACTCCTTTGACAATATGCTTCTCCCTACAACAAGGCCGTATAGGTAGGCATACATACTCCTACGAGTGGGAAAGCACTTTTTAAGTCAAAAATGAAGTCACCATTGTAAAAAAGATGTTCTCCAAATCTCAATTGACACTTTAAAAAGCGTTAACAAAATCTGAAGCACGTAAGCCCCTAATCTCGTTTCTATGATCTCACCTTGACGGGCTGGCTGGAGGCGGGGATCTGGGCCGTCACCGTGCGCCACTGGTCGTTGGTCGGCCCGCTCTGGTCGCTCAGGTCCAGGAACGGCGTCGGCTGCTCGGCGGTGCCCACCACAAATCGCACGTCCAGCGCGGCCGAGGACACGTACTGGGATCGGATCCAGTAGCGGAACGAGATGAAGGAGCCGGCCGGGTAGGGGAGCGCCGCGGTCGTCACCAGCCGGCCGTGGACGTACTCTGTAGAGGAGAAGTTGAGCGGCGCCACCCAGGCCAGGTAGCGGCCGCTGGGCTCGGCCGGCAGGTCGGGCACCTGCCGGCGCAGCTCCGAGGCCAGCCGCACCTCCCAGGTACCGGCCTGGTCCAGCGGGTTACCCGACCACAACTGGCCAGAGTCGCCCGACTCGAAATCCTCGCAGTAGTCGGCGGCGGCCAGCGCGGCAGCCACCGCCAGCAGAGTCAGAGTCAGAGTCAGGCGAGTCATGGCGGAGTCGCGCGGGGAGCTCCGGACGGCAGAGGACCCCGGGGAGGAGTGCCGCGCCCCGCGGGACGGACCGAGCCCCTCCGGCCCCCCGGAGGACACTCGAGGGAGGGCGAGGTCGGCCCATCGTGGCACCACGGGCAGACAAAGGCATGCGCCGAAAAATGGCAGGCTTATCGGCGCCAATGGACAGCCTTATCGGCGCTAAATACACACAGCGGCGCACGCATCCGTCCGTTTAAAGTGGCGGCATGCATTGAGAAAAACTCGGCACACGAGAGGCAGATGAAGTGTTTGATGAGTCTGACGTCAGGAGCCTTCTCAGAAAACTGGCCAGCTTCTGACTTAGGTACTAATGACACCACGTCCGCATGACAACATGCCAGGAAGACATTTTGCTGCTTTATGGTAGGGTGATGATTATCTGTTTTCAGCATTCATACAGTGTTATTTCTAGTGCCAAAATATCAAGCATCGGCCACTTGGGTTCATCTAATTTTTCTTTACCCATCCTTTACTGCCCAAAATAGAAACTGCCTGCTACGCAACATATGTCCCAATCGACAATGCTAGCCATTCATTTATTCCGTTTTCCATGCACCAAAATGCCATCTTACGACACCAGTCGTCATCCGACCACGGGAACGGGATTTAAGTTCATCGAGTCAAAAAAAGACCTCTATCCATACACCAAACCCGGGTATATCGAGAAGTATCTGTATTGATGACCAGCATCTACATATCCAGATACACCTCACCAGACACCGTCCGCCGTTCAGGGTCGGTTTCTGACCAGCCGGTTCCTCGCCATGCTCAATTTACACGCCACGTACGCCCCATCCTTGCAGCAGAGGTGCGGCTCGAAATTGCCCACGTGTTTGCGGTCTCTGTCGCACAGTTTGTCGTACATGCCGGTGACCAGGCCGTGCGTCTCGTCGCGGCCCCAGGCGGCGCAGGCCAGGTCGCCCAGCCGGCTCCCGTTCACCAGCGACTCCCAGTCGCCGGCCGCCTCGAAGATGTCCCGCGAGGTGCGGCACTCCTCCTCGCAGAGATGCTCCGCCTGGTGGTCGCAGCCATACGACGGGAATGGTCGCAGAGAGACCAGAGTGAACACGTGATCGGAGGAATGGTCGTGGGTACCCAGGGAGCAGACGCACTGCCAGCTCGGGGCGGGCGTGGGGGAGCTGGTAGGGGCAGGGGTAGTGGGCGCAGGGGTAGTGGGCGCAAGGGTAGTGGGGGCAGGGGTAGTTGTAGTAGGTTCAGGGGTAGTTGTGGTAGGCTCAGGGGTAGTTGTGGTAGGCTCAGGGGTAGTTGTAGTAGGTTCCGGGGTAGTTGTGGTAGGCTCAGGGGTAGTTGTAGTAGGTTCCGGAGTGGTTGTAGTAGGCTCAGGGGTAGTTGTAGTAGGTTCAGTGGTAGTCGTGGTAGGTTCAGGAGTAGTTGTAGTAGGTTCCGGGGTGGTTGTAGTAGGCTCAGGGGTAGTTGTAGTAGGTTCAGTGGTAGTTGTGGTAGGTTCCGGGGTAGTTGTGGTAGGTTCCGGGGTAGTTGTGGTAGGTTCCGGGGTAGTTGTGGTAGGTTCCGGGGTAGTTGTGGTAGGTTTCGGGGTAGTTGTAGTAGTTTGAAGTGTAGTTGTAGTGGGTTCCGGAGTAGTTGTGGTAGGTTTTTCGGTAGTTGTAGTAGAGACCGGCACGAGGCCGCACGGATGGTCCAGACCGTCCGGACCATGGACCGTGATGTCATCGATGGCCACCTGGTCCAATTGGTCCAGACCGCGACCGCCGAAAATGGACAGCTGCGGAGCAGAGAGGGCACGGTTAGAGAAGGCACGTGCGGCATGAAGCATAAAATGTCTTACGTGGCGACAGAAAGGCTGGCAGAATACTCTAGGTCTCCGAAGGTTGAGACTTTTCAATTAAGAACAATCACTATTCTTTAGAATTGTGATTTTCTATTGAAAATCCCATTAGGTTAGGTTAGGTTAGGTTAGGTTATATGCATTATAACGAATGACTCCTTTGACAATATGCTTCTCCCTACAAGCAAGGCCGTATAGGTAGGCATACATACTCCTACGAGTGGGAAAGCACTTTTCTAAAGTACAAAATGAAGTAACCATTGCTAAAAAAGATGTTCTCCAAATTTTTAATTGACACTTTAAAAAGCGTTAACAAAAGCTGAAGTACGTAAGCCCCTACTCTCGCTTCTGACCTTGACGGGCTGGCTGGAGGCGGGTATCTCGGCCGTCACCGTGCGCCACTGGTCGTTGGTCGGCCCGCTCTGGTCGCTCAGGTCCAGGAACGGCGTCGGCTGCTCGGCGGTGCCCACCACAAATCGCACGTCCAGCGCGGCCGAGGACACGTACTGGGATCGGATCCAGTAGCGGAGCGAGATGGAGGAGCCGGCCGGGTAGGGGAGCGCCGCGGTCGTCACCAGACGGCCGTGGATGTAGGAGTTGGACGAGTTCTTCGGCGAGATGTAGGCCAAGTAGGACCCGGAGGGCTCCGCTGGAAGGTCGGGAACCCTCTGACGAAGGTCTGAGGCGAGAAGAACATCCCAGCTGCCAGATTCGTCCAGAGGGTTTCCTGTCCAGAAAGCACCGGTGGTACCGGACTCGAAATCTTCACAGTAATCGGCGAGAACGGATGTGAAGAAAACCAGACTGAGGAAAGTCAGAGTCAGACGAGCCATGGTCGGAGTCGGAGTCGGAGTCGGGGTCGGGACTCCGAGACGCGGACACAAGTTGACGCTAGGAGGGACCAGCCCGAAGTGGCCGAGCGCCCGCAGCTCACCGGGCAAATAGCGCCGATCGGACGGGGCACTCGGGTCCGCAGGGGTGATGGGGGATCAAATTCCTGTTCAGAAGTACAAAGGAGTGGTGCAATGTCCACCTATCACGCCACGAGGAGCACACAGAGGGTTTTAATGCAAGAGATAGTGCGAGATAACAGCTTGTAACAACTTAAAGTCGAGCTACCGTGAGTCAGCCAAACTGAATGCCGGGAGAGATAATGTCATTCACAAACTCCAACCAATCACTGGAGGGTTCGATAACCACGCTGCCACGCCCTCAACACTTTGTTTACTTGCTAGAGCTCAACTATAAGTGGTTTGATACGTTTATCCGGTGTGGCATGCAGATTGCAAAAACCAGATAGATAAGTTTTAGGCGCCCACGACCTGAAATATATAAAACTGCTCAAGGTTTTTACAGGCGAAACGTGGGGTTTCCAGAAAGACAAAAAATATGAACTTCAGACCTTCTGGGTGTGACTGAGAGTCGGACTTTCGCCCTCGAAGAGGCGCGATGCCTGTGCGTTACATACCTTTCGCCTGTTGGTGTAACATACCCTAGACTTTGCCGAAATATTTGGCGCTTTTGACTCAGTGCCACACAATGTGCTTCTAGGCAGGCTGAACTCGACCTATGATGTGTCGGGTCGACTCCTAAACCTAAGATTCAGGCCTTCCTAACAGAGCGCCAGCATATGGTGAGTGTCCAGCAGTGCATCGGCCTGGCCTCCAGTAAAACGCGGCATACCACAGGGTACCATACTCGGTCCCTCACTCTTTACAGTACAGTGTGTGCGAATGATTTGCCAGCCCAGGTCTCCAACACAGTGAAGATGTCTGCAAACGACACCAAGTCCTATTGCAAGATGACTGCCGACAAAACTGGCCTGCAGGGCGACATGGTTGATCTGGTATGCTGGCTCAAGGCATGACTGATTTCCTTCAACCTGTCAAAATTCAAGTGTATAACTCTCACACTCTCTCACAAGAAGTAATGGTTTATCACAGTTCACACACTTTCTCTCTCGATTAAACCATTGACAGTGTCGCCATTTTAGCGCTCCCACACTCAATCTCCGAAATTCCGAGTTTATTCAAAGTTACAAATCATCCGGACAGCGCGGAGAAGCAATTGATAGGCGGACCGAGACCGGACGCGACCGAACGACCCAGAGAGGCCCCTCTCCTCTCCCTCTCCTGACAGGAACCACCCCCGATAGTCGGTCCCATGTCTGGGCACACGGAGAGGGGAGGGGAGGCCGACAGGGAAGGCGGTTCGGGTCTCGATAGCGGATCCAGAATGGCAGACCGTTCGGCAGTTCCAGCTCGGTAGGAAAAAAGCAGCAGCGGCGTGGAAGATCGACTTGTCCGGGAGGAAAAGCAGTCGCCGAGTGAAATACGATCGTCCAAAGTCTAGACGTGAAACACGACGTCTTTGACTGGTACAAACCGGAAGAAGCCAGCGTCGAAATCCACGAGCGCCGTAGCTAAGCAACCGACAAAGCTCCTCCGCTCAGGAATATCTCGCCGACGAATGGGAACGTGCAGCTCTCCAAAATACACTTACACTGAGAATTATTCGCTCACGACGCTGTTGAATCCCGCGCGATTCCGCTTACAGCGTACGATTATCACTGAACGTATATGATACAGCCGACTGATTACATAGAGAGCAAAGGAACACCGAGAACAGATTATCAACAGCAAACAGAGAATCGAGCGTTCCGCGTTCTGACTGGTGCGCCGCGCGCGTGCGGCGGCTAACATAGACTGATATGAAATTATCTTGGTTGTTGTGGATCGAATCGGAAAAGACCACGACAGTAAGCAAAAATGGAACGAATTTCTGTAAGCAAAGATTATCACAAATCTCAGGCACACATCAGCACAAAAACGCCTCTTCGAGTAATGAACACACACACACAGCGCCAAACGCACGCAAACTCTCCGATCGCGCCCCAGCTCTGCTGACACCGGTACGCCTAAAATATAACACATGAGCGAAGCCACCGCACCGCGTGGTAGCCGGTCGGACAACCGGTATGGCAGCCCTGCGGGAGCCGAATCTGGCAGCCCTGTGGGCGTCAAATCTGGCAGCCCTCTAGGAGCCAATCCAACGTCTGAACCGACCACTAAGCCAGTCAGGCACGGATCTGGCAACCGACCTCGTGATCCATCTGGCAACCTATCCGGTAACCGGTTTCGGCCTCATCGTTGTGTGCGCTGAACATTAGCGGCGTTACAGCCCCATCAAAACGCCGGGCGAAAGCGACGGCCCGCGCCCTGTCACCCTCCCTCCGGCCGCGCGGGGGCGGGGTCGGGGGCGGGGCGGCGGGGAGGCTCACCAGTCCTTCTTGATCTCGAAGCTCCACTCCCACTTGAGGTACTCATTCTTGTCGTCATCGCAGAACACGGACTTGACGTGGTACGTGCCGCGCGCCAGCATGCCTGGAAGAGATGGAGCGGGGTGAGTGTTAGTCTTATACAGTTGGGAAACGGGGGGCATGGAGAAGAGAGCAGTGCACTGAAACTTAAGCAACTAAGCCGTCAGTCATCACTGACAGTTGCATATGTCATGTGAGAAAAACTGCGGTCGATTTAGGCAGCTCACTCGGTTTGGGCACGTCCTATCGTTAAACAATCATCAATTCCACAGGCAGGGGCCGTAATACTTACACTGACGATAACGATTGCAAAGTCCACCACACCAACAAATAATGCCGAAACAGGTCACAGTCACACAAAATGCCACCGGAACAGAACCACAGACACGCCCGGAGTGAGCGCACTCACTTCCGGCGCGGCGGGTCGTAAAAAACGACACAGCACGCACCGGTGGTGTAAACAGCACGTCAGCGGCATACGCGGCGCCACAGCGGCGAACGTGGTGCGTCAGAGGTGTCGCCGAGCGCTGAGCTTTACACGGACAAGGAAAGGTTCGGGTTTGAAGCGGACAAGGGGGCAAACTCAGCAAGGCAACGGGCCGAGTTTGGGTGAAGGGAATGTTTAAATTAGGTGCGATGCTATCAAAGTTAAAAAAAGCTGAATAATATTTCGCCAATTCTGTCGTTGAACTCCAAAAAATCAAGTTGGGATTCCCATCACCCGTCTCCATCCACACATCACACAGCATCACACATACCCGAGGTCCGCTGGAGCAGTCCAAGGAAGCGTGGTTCGAACCACGGTTCGAATCTCAGGATCGGCAGGATTTTTGGCCAGGCACGCTGTTCTTGCAGGAAGAGAGGTGAGTAGGTTCCAGGGTTCAGCCAGGTAGGAGCAGTGCCGGCAAGGATGCTGTGAAAGGCATACATCACGCACATTATACGATTGCAATTTGCAGCCTCATTACAATTTACAGCCTGCATGACGGCGTAATGATTAATGACGATTTTTATTATTTCCTCCTGTTGCTTCCGTTGAAACCTAAGAAGCTTTATACCCTACGACATCCAACATACAGCAGTTGCATCACGGATGAATCACGGATACTATCCGTTAGCATAGCCATAAAATCATAGGCCACCAAGCAGTGCAAAGGTAGAGTCCAGGGACGCCGATCAATGTCGCCCAGTTAGCACCCGCCGTACACTCCCCTTTCCCGTCCCCCCCCCCCCTAACACCGACCCGAGTCCCCAATGACTCACCGCCCGTAGTGACCCTCTCAGTCCATCCCCTGACTCATGGGGATCGATCGACAGCGTGACGTCACAGCCCACACCCCGGTAGTAACGGGAGGCACTTCCCAACTCGAACAACCAAAGACCCAGATATACTCGGCGAGATTGGGTTGGCTACGGAACTGTTTACATAGATTGCTGGGCCATCAAATACACAGAAAAAGCAAAGGATAAGGAACGAGTATAAAACATGATCTTCACGTGGCCACGTTGTATCCTGTTTATCGTTGGCTGAGACCGACTGGTTGCATTGTTGTAAATATCAAATTCGAGCCACAGAGCACGCGTAGGATAAGGAACGGGGCATGAACTACAGCCTGGCCTTTACGTTTCATTTAACAACCTTAAATTTTGCATATCGTTTCGAATCTTCGATACATTGAGTAGGATAAACATAGCGCAAGTAGCCACACCTTATCATATGCCGTTTCATTTTGTACGTCACATATACGAATTTCAATGCACCCCACTCGAGAGTTCCCTCCGTTATTGAAAATCCCGACCTTTGCCGAGTGCCGCTGACGACAATGTTGCTGACTGACCAGTTGCTAAGCGACTGCCCACCGGTTGCTAGGCGACCCGACCGACTCGGACCGACTCTCGTCCAAAGTTTAGCCGAGTCATTGCGTAAATATCGGTAAACGACAGCCGATGATTCGAGCAAGCTGTCACCAAACGGGGAAAGGTCGTTGACAACAGCCGGGCCAGATTCGATCAGGAATATATTGCAATCGTTCTTGTCTTACTCGTCTCTCATAAAGTTATCCTGACGCTCGGCACTAAAAGGGTGTACCATGTCTGAAACTATTCTCATAATGATCTGTATATTACGCACTCTATTATTGAGATATACTCCGCCCACATCGCGGTAAGCACCTTACCAAACATGAACAAATGCTAGCGAGCATCGATTTGAGGCTCCCCTCCCACACTGATACGCCAATACCAAGCTTTGGCCAAAGCTGATGCTGCTCTATTTGGACCAAAAAGACGCAATAAAGATCTAGAGCCTATCTTATCTAGCACCCAATAGGGAATAAATCGCCTCAAAACATCTCACAATTCACAAAACGATAGTTCTGAGTGAACAAATGCGCTGAAGGTAAACGCCAAACCGTGCTATTGCCCACTCCTTGACTTGCTACGAGCAGACCAATCACGGTTCGAAAACTCGTCCTGTACGCACTGGTAAAAATTCGTTAACGATAACCCCAACCAACCACAGATCATGCAAGGAAAAGTGATTCTCTGTTCCGCATCAATAATGTCGAATCGTCCAACTAATGTCGAAGTGGAGATATTGGTCTCGATATTTGCACCTCGAGCCGCTCGCAATCTGTTCCAGGAAGCGACCGGCCGGCCGGCGGCGGAGACGGCCGCCGCAGACCCCCGGAGGCGGAAAATCCAGGATCTACTATCACGACTAATGATATCGACTCAGAGATCACCGGCAGAGCGCCCGTCCCCGGTCCGTTATATGTGCCAGCGGTACTGGACGGCAGAGCGCCCCGGTCCCCGGTCCGTTATTACAGGACGGCAGAGCGCCCGTCTCCGGTCCGCTATATGTGCCAGCGGTAGTGGACAACAGAACCCGTCCCCAGCCCAGAGGGTAGGTACTGGACGGCAGAGGACCAGACTATCGAATACGGTAGTAGCCAGCATGGTAGACCAAGCTCTCATGGCAATAAGTATGTAGAAAAATCAGCTCCAGTTTTATACACACTGTGGCGTTGTGGGTTGTCGCGTGCCGGCCGCCGGGCCACCGGCGCCAGCTGACCGTGCCTGAGGCCGGGACGGTCACGTGACTGGGCACCGGCGAGGGACCCGTTCCGTCTGAATACAGTCAGTCTAGACCGAGACCTCGTTGTGTTTCATTGGCGACGAGTGCGGAACCAGCCATGGCGTGGCTTGGGGTGCCGCCCGTGTTTAAGCGGAACGAGGAGAGCTTTGGTGCCTATGCCAGGAGGCTAGAACAGTTCTTTGTCGTGAACGATTTGCTTATTCCCGACGACAAGAAGGCCGCGGTTTCAGTGGACGCTAAGCGGCGTGCTGTGCTCCTGACTGCTCTGGAGCCGGACACATTCTCGCTCCTGGAGGACCTGCTTTCTGGCGTCGCCGCTGGCTGACGCCGGGCCGCCTGGCTCGCTGGCCGGGCCGGTCTCCCCTGAGTTGGGCGCTCCGCCGGCGGCCGTAGCGGCGCCGGCAGTGTCCGACCGGGTGCTCCGTCCCAGGCCGCTTCCCGGACCGGACCGATTGAGTTATGCGTAAGATCGTACGCACCGTCCTATGCTTTGTCAATTCATGGTCGTGTTCGCTTTGTATGATAGGTTTTAATTCGTGTATATATCGTGCATTGTTTTATGTCAAGATCTGGTGGGGAGGAATGTGGCGTTGTGGGTTGTCGCGTGCCGGCCGCCGGGCCACCGGCGCCAGCTGACCGTGCCTGAGGCCGGGACGGTCACGTGACTGGGCACCGGCGAGGGACCCGTTCCGTCTGAATACAGTCAGTCTAGACCGAGACCTCGTTGTGTTTCACACACTTCCGTCTGTACCAACTAATCTCATATAGGTGTGAAAACAACACCCGCGTTCTTCTGAGTCAGACGAGATGTGTGTAAACTAGTCCATCCAAGCGCACAAAAAAAAAATGACAGGCAACCTACAAGCCTCGCTCGGCTATCTCCCGTTCGAGCACACTCGCCGCCGGTTCGTCGCGGTTCATCTGCACCGAGCAGTTCTGACCACGGGGGCCCCTCGCCCGGCCCCTCGCACCAACACCATCCGCTCATTTACATAGTCATATAAGGCGGCGTGTAATTTGCATCCCAATGCAGGCAGAGCATGTCCCCGGCACAGGTTTGGATTACGGAGAGATGAGAGGACGAACACAGTCCAATTACAGCAGCGATTCGACCGAAAAAAAAACGTCATAACGGCTGGGTATTAGCCTAGGCCCGTATAAAAGGGGTTTTTAATGATCCTGAAAACAAAAAAGTCTCCTTCCTCTCCCTCCCTTTCCCAAGCGCTGGTAGCTTTTCCTCATGGTTTACAGGGACTAGGGGTCCAGATACTCTCCCCCGCTCAGAAAATGACCACTGCCTTACCTGACAGCGCGTCCTCCACGGACAAGGGACAAGGGCCAGGGACCCCTCCCCTTTCAGGTACCCCGTCCGTTTACCTGAGGGCGCGTCCTCCATGGGCGTCAGGTGGGTGTGGTGGACCCCCCACCCCCCCACCCCACCCCCAGGGGGTGCGGGGACTCGTCCGTTTACCTGAGGGCGCGTCCTCCATGGGCGTCAGGTGGGTGTGGTGGACCCCCCACCCCCCCCCCACCCCCAGGGGTGCGGGGACTCGTCCGTTTACCTGAGGGCGCGTCCTCCATGGGCGTCAGGTGGGTGTGGTGGCACCCCCCCCCCCGGGGGAGGGGTGCGGGGACTCGTCCGTTTACCTGAGGGCGCGTCCTCCATGGGCGTCAGGTGGGTGTGGTGGACCCCCACCCCCACCCCCAGGGGGTGCGGGGACTCGTCCGTTTACCTGAGGGCGCGTCCTCCATGGGCGTCAGGTGGGTGTGGTGGCACCCCCCCCCCCCCGGGGGAGGGGTGCGGGGACTCGTCCGTTTACCTGAGGGCGCGTCCTCCATGGGTGTCAGGTGGGTGTGCACCTCCTTCCTGGGGCCGTAGCTGCCCAACATCTGGTTCATCTTGTCCACTGTCGGCACAGGGGTCCGTCTCAGCGGGTGTACTGGGGTACACGAGAGCTACAGGCGAGACACACACGCGAAAATACATGGGGTGCACCTGACTGAAAGGTTAGTCACCAAGACACTTTGGGAATAGAGGTTGCAAAAGGAGTCAGGTAACTGGAATCAGGATAATCAAAGCACAGAAAGCCGCCTTCCGATCCGTAAAGCATTAACAACCTTATTCAATACGACCACGCTTTCCTTTATGGTAGAGCTTCTGCGTGACGTGGGTTAGGCCTCTACTGAATATCCTAGCGGTATGTTCTTTTTTCTGCTGAACCTGGATTCCTTTGCAGTTACGGTTCTCTGCATGTCGCGAGGTTGGGATAGGGTGGGGACGGGGATCTTTTCTACTGGCCCCCGATGCCCTTGCGGTAGGTTTTCTGGGTGTAGCGGGTGGCGGGGCTCTAGTTTCTACTAACCCTGGATGCCCTTGCGGTAGGTTTTCTGGGTGTAGCGGGTGGCGGGGCTCTAGTTTCTACTAACCCTGGATGCCTTTGCGGTAGGTTTTTGAGTGTGCAGGTGGCGGGACTCTAGTTTCTACTAACCCTGGATGCCTTTGCGGTAGGTTTTCTGGGTGTACCGCAGTCCGGTGACGATGTCCCGCTGCACGTGGAACTCGATCCGCAGCCGGTACTGGATACCCTCCTTGATCGTGATGGTCTGCCGGAAAAAAAAGACAGGAAAACTGACATCGTGACACAGGAGTACTGACACACAACAAATGACACACGCTCAGTCTAACACAGGGACTAACATATTAGCTGGCGCGGTGACCTTACTTTTGTGTCAGACTGATGGTACCTACAGCAGCAGTTGTAAGCCGTGACCTAGTCCCAGTTGGAGTCCATGTTACGTCATTCGGACGTCCGCTCGGAAAAACTACGGAAGGTCATTTAGTGCTAATGCTGTAAGTTCTCTGCCGACTTAGTCGCGCGGCTTACCTGAGATTTCAGCGTCTCCAAGTCCCCAGACAGGTCTAGCACCACGTCGTCCCTGCCCTCGACCACCAGGGCGAGGCGCCGCACGATCACACGACTGGGGTTAGACTCGTCTGAAACGGAGGGCAGCCTCGTTATTACACGGCTCAGATTGGAGTTGGACTCGTCTGAAACGGGCGCAGCTGCTCATTGTCACATGTGTTTGGTTATAATTCTGTGACATGTTTAAATTGACTTTTTCTGAACAGAGGCCTCTTGCACCAAACTACCTAGCTAGGTAAAATCGAAAAACCGGTTTCAGAATAAGCTAATCTAACGGTGGTAATTTTGTTTGCAATAGCCCAATACATAATCCTACATGTGCTTGCTAAATTTTGCACGCAAATTGTTACATTTGAGACTTGGACTGGGTATACGATGCAAAATAATCCATGCATTGGTGCAAGAGGATTTTGGTGCAAGAGGCCTCAGCACTTAAATTGTCAGTACTTTGTCATGGGAACACTTTTACAATTAGTATACCTGAAAATACATTATGCAGGAGGTTCCACCAAACCAGACTCACGACTTTTACACCAGCCACAACCTTTGAATTTCTGACCGAGAGACGACCCCAATCAACAAGGACCTCCATGGAGTGCGTTAGTCATTTTCCATCAACAACATGGATATTCATCTAACCGTTTCAAGACATCACATTAATCTACAATCCTACTCACCGACGATGACCACCTCTCCAGCAGTGGCCTGTCCCAGCAGCGTGGCCTTGTACTTGCGCAGGCTCTCGTCCTCCGTGTCCAGCGCCATCAACTCGTCCAGGCTCTTCTCTGGCGGCGGCGCGTAGCCGGCGTCCACCTCATCGTCGTGGTGCTCCTCGTGCTCCTCCACGTGCGGCTCGTCAGACATGGCGGCGGCGGGACTGCAATGGGGCGGATAGTGTTAGTGGGAGTTGGGGGTAACGGGCAGATAGTGTTAGTGGGGAGAGAACGGGGAATATGGCCTGTGGGGATGGATCATCATATGAGCATCGTCACTGTTAGGTGGTCAACTTTTGCCCAAAATGTGATCAAATACAGCACCAAACAGCTACCAATTCCACCCTTCTACACTTGAAATGGCAATACACTATGGATGTAATCTTTGCCCAGCAGATATCACTACCAAACTTTTGGGACCCCTCCCCACATCAATATTACACCTTGTGGCCAAAAACTTTCTGGGGAGCTATTCTTTGTTGTTGTTTTAATATTTGTTGAAAAGTGGAAATAAATGACACAAATTAACATTAAAGCCAGAGCATTCAGGACAGATACAAATGATACAAACTAAGGTAGCAGTAAAGCAGGCAGCACCGGTCCCATAGCTCAGTTGGTAGAGCATTGGACTCAGCATGGTGAGAGCACATGTTCCCAGTAATAACAGTCCGGGTTCGAAGCGCGACAGGCGCTTAACATTTATGGGCATCCTGACAGGTATGGTTGCTGTTGGTGGCAGTCAGACTGTAGCCAGGCGAAGTCAGTGAGGGGACCAACCAAGTTGTGCGCACGTTTAACTTTAGACTCTAAATTCTGCCATAGAACCGGAATAGCACGATCGGGGGGTAGAGGGCAGGGTCACCCCAACAAGCTTTGCTTGACGGTGTCTGTCCTTGTAAATCCTTCCTATCAAAAGGTTCAGACAAAATTAAAAAAAACACACTTGTTTTTTGCAACCAAGAGGTGCTGTAGGTTAGGTTAAAGGTTGAAGGTTTTGGGTTGTAAGCAAGGTTAGGTCAGGTTTGGTTTGATTAGGAAGCATCTCTGGGCGGCGCCCAGTGGGCCCAGTGGGCGCACCTCTCCTTGTTTGCAAAAAAAGTGTGATGCCTCCTTTACGACTACCCAAACTAATCCCAGTCAGCATCCTATTACTGTAGAGTGTAGGGAGTATAAGACTCTCAAACTGAAGCAAGTCCATCTTGCCCATTTTGGATATGTCTATGCTTAGTGATTTTTTAACAGGATAAAAGAACAGGCATAAAATCTAATATGCACCATCCGTAGCCTTGAAAAACTAGGCAATAGTTTGTCTCATTGAATAATATTGATATACTAAAAAGCATTCAAACACAGGGACCCAGAGAGTGTACAAATTATGTTGTTTGACCGTAACCGGACAAATCTTCGTATGGCAATTCTTCGTCGCGCAATTCCTCGTCCGCATTTCTTCGTCCGCAAATCTTCGTCGGCGCATTTATTCGTGTCGCATAACTTCGTCTCGCATTTCTTCGTAAGCGCAAATATTCGTAGCGCATTTTTTCGTATCCGCATTTCTTCGCACGCGCATTTCTTCGTCAAGCATTTTTTCGTCCACGCATTTCTTCGTCTACGCAAATCTTCGTCCGCATTTCTTCGTCCACGCAAATCTTCGTCTGCGCATATCTTCGTCCGCAAATCTTCGTCTCCGCAAATCTTCGTCCGCAAATCTTCGTCCGCATTTTTTCGTTCACGCATTTCTTCGTCTACGCAAATCTTCGTCCGCATTTCTTCGTCCACGCAAATCTTCGTCCCGGCAAATCTTCGTCCGCAAATCTTCGTCCGCAAATCTTCGTCCGCAAATCTTCGTCCGCAAATCTTCGTCCGCATTTTTCGTCCACGCATTTCTTCGTCCACGCAAATCTTCGTCCGCAAATCTTTGTCTGCGCATATTTTCGTCCGCAAACCTTTGTCTGCGCTATCTTCGTCTCCGCAAACATTCGTCCACAAATGTGGTTCAATAAAACCATGAACAAATATCAGACCATCAAGTGATTGACGAATTTAATGCATGGCATGGATGATCGAAACTTTTGAAGTCAGGTAGATGAGGTCTGTCAGGTGAAGCTATTGTATTTGGGAGCCGACAATTGTAACATTCCATATCATTTGTGTCCCGGACATTCTTTTTTTTTCGCGGTCGATGAATGATGACTAATATAATCTCTTGTACCCTCGCCGGCATAGGCGGCGGAACGGGGAGGGCACCGGGGCACCGTTCCCCTCTTTAATTTTGGCCTTTTAACAGTAGCCCTATGGGCGTTGCATGGAAAGAATGGGACTAAAAGTCGGCAGTGCCGTGCCCCCCCCCCCCCCTTAATTGAAGGTGTTCCGCCGTTACTGCTCGCCGGACCTATTTGTTTTCTACATACACGCCGGCCGAGGGGGGGCGGGTACGACCCCCCCCATCGCTGTTTCACCACTGGTGGAGCTAGCGCGTCGCGGAAAAAACGAGCGTGTGCGCCGTTACGAGACGCAGAGATTAATACCCGATTTTAAGGCCTTCTAGGTCAGGGGTCGGCTTACAGCCCTCGGGCCGGATCCGGCCAGGAGGGTGACGATTGGATCTGGCCCGCGACCATCTGACGTCCGGCCCGAGCAAGTTTTGTCTAGAAGTAGAATTAGACAAAAACACCCGCAAATGGTGTTTATAAACTCATGAAGTGTGCGAAGGAAGAACTATTGTGCCAAAGCACATTTAAGTCACTTTAATGTCGGAGTCGATTTCTGAAGGAACCGCGGGCCGGAACACGATTTAAGTCGCTGATACCAGCCGCGGGCCGGACGTCAGATGGTCGCGGGCCGGATCCAACCGTCACCCTCCTGGCCGGATCCGGCCCGCGGGCCGAAAGCCGATCCTTGACCTAGAAGGCCTTAAAATCGGGTATTAATCTCTGCGTCTCGTAACGGCGCACACGCTCGTTTTTTTCCGCGACGCGCTAGCTCCACCAGTGGCGAAACGGCGATGGGGGGGGGGGTGGTCGCGTGTACCCGCCCCCCTCGGCCGGCGTGTATGTAGAAAACAAATAGGTCCGGCGAGCAGTAGCGGCGGAAGTGGAACACCTTCAATTAGAGGGGGGGGGGGGGCACGGCACTGCCGACTTTTAGTCCCATTCTTTCCATGCAACGCCCATAGGACTACGTCTGTTTAAAGGCCAAAATTAAAGAGGGGAACGGTGCCCCGGTGCCCTCCCCGTTCCGCCGCCTATGCCGGCGAGGGTACAAGAGATTATATTGTCATTCATCGACCGCGAAAAAAAGAATGTCCGGGACACAAATGATATGGAATGTTACAATTGTCGGCTCCCAAATACAATAGCTTCACCTGACAGACCTCATCTACCTGACTTCAAAAGTTTCGATCACCCATGCCATGCATTAAATTCGTCAATCACTTGATGGTCTGATATTTGTTCATGGTTTTATTGAACCACATTTGTGGACGAATGTTTGCGGAGACGAAGATAGCGCAGACAAAGGTTTGCGGACGAAAATATGCGCAGACAAAGATTTGCGGACGAAGATTTGCGTGGACGAAGAAATGCGTGGACGAAAAATGCGGACGAAGATTTGCGGACGAAGATTTGCGGACGAAGATTTGCGGACGAAGATTTGCGGACGAAGATTTGCCGGGACGAAGATTTGCGTGGACGAAGAAATGCGGACGAAGATTTGCGTAGACGAAGAAATGCGTGGACGAAAAAATGCGGACGAAGATTTGCGGACGAAGATTTGCGGAGACGAAGATTTGCGGACGAAGATATGCGCAGACGAAGATTTGCGTGGACGAAGAAATGCGGACGAAGATTTGCGTAGACGAAGAAATGCGTGGACGAAAAAATGCTTGACGAAGAAATGCGCGTACGAAGAAATGCGGATACGAAAAAATGCGCTACGAATATTTGCGCTTACGAAGAAATGCGAGACGAAATAATGCGACACGAATAAATGCGCCGACGAAGATTTGCGGACGAAGAAATGCGGACGAAGAATTGCGCGACGAAGAAATGCCATACGAAGATTTGTCCTGGAATCTGTTTGACGCCCCACGCCGATTAGGTATTGAAAGGGGGAATAGCTCAAGCTATCAAAATGGGAGACAGCATTTCATTAGAATTGCATGCAGCAAAAAACATACACAAAACAGAGCATGCAGCCATAAATGACACTACAAAGCCAAAGCAAAGCAAACAAAAAATTGGGCGTGAACACACGGATCAACTGCGCCATATACGCCGCACTACCAAAACCCATGGCTCAGAGACTCAGCCAGCGCTGAAAGCTGAAAATTAAAAAAGGTAACATCAAACAGGCGAAATCTTGCTTACCTTGGGCAGAATACAACAGCGAGAAGTCTCCAATAAATTGGAGGACGAATTTATGTGACGGTCCACGAGATGCCGACGGAGCAGAGAGGAAACAAATGTCAACAGAGGCGGATACTGCAGCTTCCGCCGGTCAATACGAGCTTCCACTTTCCCCCATGTTAGGGGTTTCCCTTCATTGTACCGATCGCTTCGCACTCGCATTTATTTCCGCGGCCCGCGCCCTCGGAAGGGTAATTTCCCCCATTATCAACTTCGGCAGCTGGTGAATAACTCGATAGGCTATACGACTGCACCCTCCTCACTCATCATTTTACTGCTGGTCTGGCAGCAAATTTGGGCTTCGGCCATACAAGACGGAAATTCCTACATACGAGAGGCATTGAGTGGTAGGTCAATAGGTGCACGCAACAAACATCGACCACACCGTTCCGTGCTTCCATCCTCAGGATACTGAAATCCTTCTCCTCCACGCCGCAACCCCCCTCCGGACTGGACAGGCAACTTTATCTCATGCGGGCTGCTCAGTGCTCCCTTGGAGCGGCACCGCTGCTCCCGAGGGAGCGCACCCCGTAGCCGGGTGCAGTGAGTGCCTTGGGGCTGGGTGGCCTGTCCTCTGGACGGGCTCAGCCCCGGCGACTCACTAGGGTGCCTGCCCAGATCAATGTCTCCCCCTAATTCCTGTCATCCTTCCGGCTCTGCAATGGTCTTGTCAGACCGAAAGGGCCTAACCCAACAAAACAAACAAACAAACATCGACCACGAGATTACAAAACATCACAAAAATCGCCGTTTGCTTACCTTTATAGTCACTTGACATTTTAATGGGCGCAAACTGACCTAGGTAGTCGATGCGCCCTAAAGCTCCAATTAACATACAAACTTGACATTTTAACAGCTGTGGAACTGACAGCATTTGTAGCGACTCTATCGTTATATCCCAAAACAAATCGTTTTATTGTTCCATCAGACTTCAGGGTAGGTACTAATCGAAGTAACAGAAATTAATGGTCACACGTGTATTGATGCAAATTTCGCAGCTTTTGTATTCATTGGAGACAATAACACAGGCAGATGAAGATGAATTAGTTTGCCGGGCGGAAGATCATCGTTTCTTGAACCCGTACTTCTTCCGTTCGTAGAAGAGATCTGTTTTGGAGCTTCCCAGGTTCACAATCTTCGGACAGCCATCTCTCTGAAATCACAGTCACATCGTCAGCACGAGAAACAACACTGGTTCAGTGAAAGGAGAGCATGATGGGACGTTCCAGGGAATTGGCGAGTAGATTCAGCATTACTACTGCGTCAGGCCGAACACAGGCGAGATTCTGAGCGACTAAAAGCTTTCTAAGCTACGGTTACACATCAACAACAAAACCTCCTCTCAGCTCAATCCTCATCATTTCAGCTCTCACTTACGCAAAAGTTATTTCAAAACCAGCCTGGCCAAGCACTCATCGAAAGTCAAAACTCGATGGCATTCCAGCTTTCACCAAGCGCCAATAACAGAAGGGAAATTGACTCTCCAAAAGTGATGCTGATATTCTGAGATAGGTGATAGTTGTTTCCACGACGGAACATTGGGCACCAAATCGACTGAAGTTTAACTAAAAAAGAAAGGCAATCAATATTTCATTTGAAAGGTGGAAGCACTATAGGGTATAAATAACTACAATTGTTCCTCGTAGTTAACAGATTTAACAGATTATATGGGTGCTCATTGTAAATTGTCCCATTCCCAAATGTTCCATCGGGAAAATGGCTATTGTGAGTGTGACAGATCCGACCCGTGCTCATCAAATCTTATCGCCCAATTATTTCGCCCGGTATCTCACTCAGTAGAGCATCGGACTCTCACTGGTGCGAGAGAGCCCGGACTTGTATCGATATGATGTCTGCGGCTGATGGCAACTTTAACATCCATTTTGCGGATACCGGAGCCGTGTTCGGGCAGCGCATCCTATTGTAAAACTCCTATATTTCTTATTGTAAGCGTAAAATATTTAGCGCGGTACCCGAACACGGCTCGGGAGTCACCCGACCAGCTGACGGTGGAGGTCGGTGTGTGTGGGGGGCGGGGAGGGGGGCGGGGGCAAAACAAGCTACCAATAGCTTGGGATCCAGTCGGTCAGCAGGTCCATTTTCCCGACCCAACGCAGCCAAAAGTGTCATGCCAATGTAATATGACCTGATGTGTAGGAGACAATGTTTTTGAAAAATAATCATTTACAAATTTCACTGAAGGTTATTGAAAAAATGCATTTTTTGGCATATTACTCGCTATGTTCACAGCGATCCTCCCGATAAGCCCACACTCACGTCCTTCTCCTGTATGGTGCACTCCTGGCAGTAGTAGGCGTCACTGATGCCCGGACCACCACAGATGACGCAGCGGCCCTGGTACGAGCCATAGTTGCACTCATCACAGATACGCACCAGGGTGCAAGGCCGCACGTACGAGTCGCAGACGACACACTTGCCGTCACACTTCTCGCACAGGCGTCCGATGGCTGAAACAGTGACACAAGAATAGCAATGGAGTATTTCAGAGCAATTTTGAAGTGTTGATGACTGTTGTTGAAGTGTTGATGACTGTTGTCAACACTTTATTTTTAGCTGGCTGGACGTAAGTTAAAACTTTCTGTACATGGTTTCCTGGTAAGGATGTTTTATTTCTCCAATATTCTTTTAAGTTTTAGGCAGCAATATAATGGAAACTAAAAAATGGAAATGTACCTCCTACTTTCAAATGCGACTTGGCGATGAACATAAAATGTCCAGTCCTACCCAGAATTCTTTGGTCTCGAGACAAGGTACCATATAATCTTATAAATAAAAGTTTCATCTTACTACCGGTACCGGCTAATACTAATTGCGATTGATTTTCCTCAACGCAGGCTCAGGCTATGCTATCGGTTACAGTCAGATATGCACGGTTCGAACTCACCTACTCCCGGTTGTTTCCTGCAAAAAATAAGATCGGGATGGTGCTTAGCCATTTTAAATAACTTTAAATAAACGCAATCACGTGTAACCTACGAGTTACGACCAAAATCTACAGCGAGCGTCAATAATTTGGAAACGTTTCAACTTCTCCGTATTTGTCGACATTTACGAGCTTCCAGATATTCCAAAGTAAAGTTTTCCCTTCAGCGCCCGATGAGCGCCGAAGTTTTTACCTACGCCTATTAGAAAAGTAATCTTGCGTAAGCCAACGCGATTGGTTCGAAACTCAGTGAAAACAGTTACAAGAACTGGTGAATACTACATTGCCGAGAACAACGATAAAGGGAGGGATATCATTTTAACTTAGCCCTATGGGCGTTACATGGAAAGAACGGGACCAACCCCGCGTTCGATGTTTCTCGGACGACGAAGATTCTACGTCATCCGGCCAATCTCGTTCCAGAACCGCAGCCAAGCCCCCGCTGACCTTGAACGGGATTGGTCGGACGGCGTAGAATCTTCGTCGTCCGAGAGACATCGAACGCGGGGCAAAAGTCGGCGGTGCCCCCCCCCCCCCCCCGCTAAATTGGCCGCAGGATGGAATCTGCTTGAGTAACCTGATGACTGATGTCAATAGTGCCTACTGCCTACAACTTAGAAATATGACCTGCAGTCACCTGAAACTACTGAAAGTATTAAAACAGAACATTTGTGACTTGCAAAAAATAATCTTTGAGATTTCGGTGTTGACAAAAGATAAATGAGTTAGGTATCTATGAAGTCTCACTGCAGGCCACCCGCAAAAAGTAGACGCGTTTCTATGATCTCAACGGATCCTGGATAAATTAACCCGCGCCCCACTGGGGTCTGCGTATAACACGCCCTACTGGGGGGGGGGGGGGGGGCTATTCATAGCCCCCCCTCCTAACTCCGAAACTACTGAGCCGATCGTCAAAATTCAAACGTCGTCTGATAGCCCCGGAAAAACTGTCGAACGAAACCTAATTTCATTGACCTCGAGGTCACCGATGACGTCACAGGTCAGGTCAAAGTAAAAATTATTAGCATTTTGGCTTGATCACGTTTTGGGCTCTGGCCGCCGTCTTACAAGTCAGACCAGGCTCATTTTTGGTTTCCACACTCGTGAACAGATGCTCTAGTTACCCTGAGGGTACCAAACTTGTACTTTGATTTTCAGGTCAAGGTCAGGTCATCACAGGTCACGAAAATATTATACCTATCATGCGTCGGTCACGTGACACATGTTTTATGGTCCATTTAGGTCAGATATTTCGAATTTGATGTCGTCTGTGTTATTCGAGGTCATTTTGAGTCGAATTTAGCTTATGTTAGGTCACTTTCAGGTCAAAAAAGGTCAAATTTTGAAGTTAAAATTTTTTAACAAAAAAGGTGTCTATTGGATGCAGTTTGAGCTCAGGAACACGATAGTGCTATTTATATTGGCGTACGATGTCAAATACGTGCTAAAAAATTGATTTGAAAAATTAATAATTGTGAATTTTTTGCAATAATGCGTAAAACTTGGCCATTTTTGAAGATATTTAGCTAAAACTTGCTAGAGTTAGTCATAATAATGCGTTCTATCACATATATTCCGGTTTTTTCGAAGTCAAAAACTTTTTGAAAAAAAATGTAAAAATATAAATTTTGGATATTATTATATAAAATTTTCAAAGTTTTCAAAATTTCGAAAATCCGAGATAGCAGTTTGATAGCGCAGTCTATTCTGAGTCCTCTCATGCAAAGAAATTGGATCTAGCTTAAAAACTGAGCTCTTGGGAGCGATTGCCGTGGTTCAATGTTTTGCGTCGAAATCGGCCGAACATGACGTCACTCTGACGTCATTTCCGGCCGACCTATAGTAGGTACGAAGTTCAAATTTTGACACAAGGTGTCAAATTGATGCAGCCTAAGGTACTGAAAGTTTGGCGTCGATACGTCAAGCGGTTTGGAAGTTATTGCAGAAAAACGGGAGGGGGGGCTATAAATAGCCCCCCCCCCAGTGGGGCGCGGGTTAAACAACTGGATCTATGATCATCGGATCCGAGATCAGAATCTGTGGAATCAGATCCCAGTCCCATTTCTCGGATCCATGGACATGTCTGCTGGCATGGCCTGATTCGACAAATTTCCATCGAATGACCAGCATTCAGCAACTAACTCATCCTGAGGGGGGGGGGGGGGATTGAAGTCTCGACTCTCAAATCATCTTGGAAAAGCATATATTTTAAGAGGCCGCCAGATCCATCACATGATAGCCATGTCTATCCAGTGCACGGAATGAATAGCAGACGTCCCGACATAGTGATCACAAGTCACGGCTCTGCAACGACCACCAGGGCTTGATCAGAGCTACCGCGAAAACCTCAGACGTGAATGCATTGCTACTCACTGAAAATCCAACGAGCTTAAACTAATATGGCAAGCACTCCTCGGCTACTCGCTTGCTCGTATGTCCCCATTTCTACGGTCTAGATTGAGATGCATAACAACAGCATAACTAAACCGCATGCTTATCATAAAGCGGTCATAGACTGGCGTTGTGACATCACCTCGTGCTCACTCCTAATCCCCACCTCCACCGGGCGGAGCCGCCTTTTCCAGGCCACAGCTGACACGTGCTTTATCCACCTCGGCCTCCACCAGTCGGCAGAGCTCGTCAATAGGCCTCCGTCCGTCCAGAAAGGTCACCTCTGCCTCTGCCTCTCTGCGGAGCGCAGCCTCGTGCTGCTCGTACATCGGCCACACGCAGGCGTCAAAGTAGCCGGGCACATCGGGCGGCTCGTACACCCGCCGCTGCCTCCGCTGCCAGCAGGTGGCCCGGTCCAGCGTCACAAACACGCGCGCGTCGCAGCGCTGGCGCACGCGCCCATCGTTGAGCACGAGGAATCCCTCCAGGATGAGTATCCCGGGCGGGGAGGTGGCGGTGAGGGCGGTGACGTCGGCCAGCAGCCGGTCCATGTCCAGGGCGGACAGGGTGTCCCAGTTGAAGTGGTCCAGGCCGGGCACAAGGCGGTGGCGGGGGTCCGACTCGGGCAGGAAGTAGTCGTCCTGACTGATGAGCCGCGAGCCGGCCAGAGACGCGTGCAGCCGCCGCGCGATGGTGGTCTTCCCGCTGCACGTGGCGCCCGACACGGCGGCCACGCACCAGCGCGACATGGCCAGACACGACGGTCGACGGTTCGATCCTCGCTGAGGGCGTGACTTTCGTCAGATTGTGCAGATCACAATGTCAGGGGAACCAGGAACGTCTTGACGCGATGTTGCGAGTTCCGTGTCAATGAGCGAACGTCTGCACACAACTCATGGCACCAGCAGCACTTCTACCCTCGAATTTACTGTGAGGTTCACAGAGCACAGCCCTCACCAGCGCCTAGCTGAGCGCTCAAGAGACAATGAGGCAAATTACCGACAACCACTGGCATCAAATTCACACCTAGGAGCATGGATCACCGACGCCAAGGTCACGTGATCACCGGCGCCGCGGTCCCACAAAGTACTCGCGCTCGAACCGCGCAAAGTCCTCCTCGGAGAAGCACGACTTGGCTTCCTTCTGTTTCTTCTTCTGCTGATCTTGTTGGACCTTTTTCACGGACCGCCGCTGCTGGTACTCGGAAACCTGAAACGAGGAGCGTCCAATCGTGGTCAGCGCGAGAAAACGCGATATTTGGGCGAGATTGGGCATACAAAAATATTGGTGCATGCTATATATCGGTACAAATGTGAATAACAGTGGTTTCAGGCTTGTTATATAATAATGCCTGGCCATGACATGCAAATATGAGGGCAACTATGGCTCCACTAATAGATGCTGTTTACACACACACATAATGCATAGGCTCTAGGCACTAGAATGCATTGCTTATGCACAAGGTTCCATCAAAAATTAAAATAAACAAACTAACCTGTTCAACAACCTTTGTGCTAGTCTTCTTGCTGCTCAGCAGGTTGAGAAATTTTATTGCATCTTTGGTGTTATCTTTAGGCTTTTGTTTGTTGTACTCATCCAATGCAGACTTGTACTTCTTCCCTTTGACAGTCAGAGGAGCACCTGTAATAGTTTTTTCAGATGTCATGTGTGTTAAACAGCAGATGGCTAGCATTCAATTCAAGTGGGGTCTATCATCACGCCCAGCAACAGAACAAAGGCTTAGATCTTTATGGTCACAACAGATGCCAGAGAGAGAGGGAGAGAGAAAGTGAACTTGGTATTTGCAGAAATGTAGTCCAATGCTACCTCACACAAATGATCAATGGTGCTCCCACAGCACTGCCTGTTATTCTACTAAGTAGTGATGAAAAATATTGCAGATGTCATATACTATAAATAACATTACTATGAAATGAAGCATTTTAAGTCAAGAACAAAATACTGAGCATCACAATGGCTGAAACATTGGCTAGCATGGTAGATCTTTATAATAAAAAATAACATTTATGAGTAAGGAAGTCATTCAAAGGTCACATCAACAGTTCTGATTTCCACACAACTTTGCAGGTACTGTTTGGTTAACTCACAAAGCAGCTTCATAATATTGACAATATTTGGCATGGCAACACAAACTTTATAATTAATCATAAAAAATACCATTGCTGAGCAGTCTGTACTGACTACTGGTACATAAAAAGCCAGGAATATTCCTACTTAGATTGAAAATATCAAAACAACTCGGGTAGCCTGCATATAATAGCATATGAAATGTTGCAATTAACTTACCACTGCCATTCTTTTTCTTGTTCTCCCTTCTTCTCAGCTTCTTCAGTTCTGTCTTGTTTGTTGTTGCCAGCAAAGCAGATGGTTTCTTCTTTGATGAACCTGGAAAATAAATAACATTTATGAGTATTGAAGTTACTTTCTTGTCAAACCACATGCAAAATATGCAACAAAAGTTGTATAAAAAAACTAGACATAGCAGGTCAAGATAGTAACTAGGGTATCAGTAAGACAAGCGTAGCACAAGCGGGCATATGCTGTGGCATGGACAAAGTCACTAGAGCCTTGAGGCTTTTAGAAACATTACGTATGCTGCAGCCTGGGCCCTGGGGAGATCCGCAGAACTGAATCCGGGCACTGCAAGATCAAGCACCCACTAGGCAGGCTAGGTATATGATACATGTAGCACACAGCATTCAAAAAAAATATTAAAAAGAAAATGGATTAGCACAAATTATGATTCTGACCTGAACCGGACTCAGTTGCTAAGTCGTCGCTGAAAAGCTCTAGCCCCTTGCGGACCAGAGACGCACTCATGCTGACCCTAAGGCGCGTCCTACAATAAATCCACTTGGAAAGTATTTGGACGAACTTCTTGTGGATCTTTTAATCCAGAGGGCATAAATTTATCAAAATTGAAATGTCCGAAATGCTTATTACCCAGGGGGGTTCGCTCCCGTGCCTTCAGCATTACGAAAAATGGCAACAGCCCGTGAGCAGCATCAGCGCTCACGCACATGTTCAAGGAAAACGACATGTGATGGACTGCTAACGACGGCCCTCTCCACCAATCAGCGCTCGGCATCTCGAGCGCTGATTGGCTGGTAGCAAACGCGTCATATGTGGGTCTCATTTTTTGCGATCAGTGAACGCGTTATTTAATACGCAGTGGCCTATGGAGAATGGCACGCGGAACTGAAGGTCAGTGTTTTATTGCTTCGTACATGCGAATGGGGGTATTTGAGTGGCATTTGACACCATTTTCGAAATCTACAGTGAATTTCTGATCGACTCATGTATATATTTTTATGAATTTGACAGTATTAGTGCTACATAGTCGGTGTTTTATGTTGGTGTTGTTTCTCTCGACCTTTGTCTTGGACTCTTATCCTATCTTTTCTCGAAAATGCTTGCCATAACCAGGTCTTAACTGTATCTGTATAAAGGGAATATGTGTTGAATATGAGGAGAAGGTAGTATTTATAGTCACCGTGGTAGTAATGACCATTCTGCCTATCAAACTGCCAGAAGGTGTGCTTGTAAGGTGATTGAAACTGCAGTACGGGTTGCAGATGTGGGTTTGACATTAGCATTGTTGTTGTAACCCCACTTGCTCTAATAAAATTGCAACATGGGGTTATGTACCCACTATTGCACAGCCTGGTATCAAGCTGGTTGATATGTGGAGGATAATGAAAGCATAAAAACTTTTCTTTAGTGAATAGGAGCGTTGCGTCTTGTGACTTATGTCAAGTCATTTTAAATGAAATGATTGTGATTGTAACTTTTACTTCAATTATTATTATTGCTAGTTTTGACCTTTTTAATCATCAAGTTTTATGTGTACCAATTTCATATGCCTGTGTAATGTCTGTGCGGCTTTGTGCAGTGAGCGTGTCTTGAAACAAACCAATTTATTTTGTACCTTTTCTTACTTCAACAAATGTATGTCAAAGGACAAAAATGTCATGTCTATTATCATTGACACTACTACAGCTAACTTTGCCTATATTCCTATCTTTCAGAGGCATTCATCTGCTTTCCAGTGCGGTGCAGTACCTAGGAGGCTGCAACTGAAACTCGCACAAAGGCAACCAAGTGTCACTTCATCAGCCTACAGTAACAGCCCATCTGTAATCAAGATATGGGTGAAGTGGCATAGAAGAACAACCAGTAAACATGAAAAGATGTATTTTGTTTTGAACTATTTCTTAGCATAACTGAACAGCAAAGTGCACACTTACTGCTTTTCATGTTTGCCCTGTGTGCACTGTGCAGTTTTGAATTATTTTAACTATGAAATGCTTTTGCTAACTACTCTCTTTACATAAGCTTCCTTTGTCATGCCTGTGTAATTTTGAGTTTACATGCATGATGTAGGCATGTTAGCATGTATTTCCCTTGGCTTCATAAAACTACTTCCAAGCATTTGTTATGAACATTGGTGCTACCTATATATGATGCTTCAAATGTGTCCAGTAGTTGATGAAGGGAGAAGAGTAGTAGGACAGCTGATAGGCTGATAGCTATTACCAAAAATATGTGCTTGTCTGCACTTCGGGCTGTTCCATCATATGCAACCTCTATTTACTTCCTTGTGTTAGAAACACCCCATCTTTTGTTTCTTTCCTGTGCGCCCATTGTTTCCGTGGTGCTATAAACGTCAAGTTTGAAGTTGGTATCCAAGTGAGCAAAATTTGCATTATTTCAGGCCGTCTTGAATCATTCGTCTTGAATTATATCCCTAACTGACATCCTGTTATTTGTCCTGCAATGTCTGTGCCTGTGTCCGCCCTTACCTCCGGCTCCAGCCTCCAACCAGGCCTGCTGAGCTCTGTCGCCGGCGCGGTGTGTCGCAACGTGCTGTTTCTCCACTCCACCCGACAGCTGCTAGGAATCATCCTGTGCCATGCGCCATGCGACACAGCAATTGTAAGCTGCAGGTCACATTCGGGATGATTGGCTCCGCGTATGTGCATCCGGCCGGGTGCTAGTCGATATCAGGGACGTGGGTCGGACTGTTGTGGCGGCGTGCACTGTGTTGGTTGAAGTTGTTGTATTTCTGTTAGTGAAAAGCATTAATACATAACCGTGGCTGCAGCCCAATGTTATTGTGGATTTCAGAGGGAGTGGCCAGTCAGGAGGGCCCCATGTGGGTATAGATCCAGTGTCCAGTGGGATTGGCTAAGATTTCCGGCGATTGATAAACGCTTCTATGATAGTAAACCTATTGAGTTATGAGGGGAGGTCACGTGAGGGACCTGACCTTACTAAATTCTTGTGAAAACACGACACATACGAACGATAAGAAACCGACAGCTCTTCTTTCTGCCAAGTGTCATCTTTCTGTGAAGGATTTCTTGGCACTGAGTGTCCAGAAATTGCGTTGCTTTTGGACTGTGTAGAGGCTCACGAGCGATAACATAGGTCAACAACCTGACGTACCTTAAATATGCGACTTGTACCAGAAGATCCAGCTTGATCAAAAGATTGTACATGTCAAATTTCAGCTCTTTAGCTCAAAAGAATTTTGAGTTATCGTAAAAACCGTCAGTGTGGCACCGTATCGCCTCCCCGCGCGGTCGGAAGGTAAAAGTTCGCCGGCTCTAACTAAACAAATAGTCGTCGTATCGCAAATTCATTGACGGCGTTCGAAGCGTCGTTCAATTTACTTTCGAAACATATCCTAACATTAACATTTATCTGCCTAGCGCAATCTCCAACAAGCAAAAGTTCCGTGCATGCATCCTCATACAGTGTTAGCGGCCGCCGGCCGCCGGCCGCTGACCCACATTCGCGTCATCAGGGAATGCCGTAACTAATTTATTGTTTCCAACTTTTTTCCCGGAGCGTTCTACCTGGTTTATATAGCCTTGTTATTACCTATGATGCGCGAAAGTGTGCGCGAAGCTACCACAAGAATGCTACTCCGTAAATGTCACTATTGCGCATCGAACGCCATACTTTTCACTGCCATATTGCTGCCAAATGTAGGGGAATATTTTATTTTATTCCTTCACGGAGGCGTAATGCGTTGTGCATGCTGACGTGCGATGTGCGGTTGATATGCGGGACGGAGTGCTCATTGCTTACCGGGAGGCAGCCTGAGTCCTTCACCTGCATTTCCATTCCGACCGGCTCGACCACTCTACCCGAACTCACTCGTTCCCTCTACCCCGACTAACGGCCGCGGCTAGGGGGCCGGACACGCCCGCGGGGGGGGGGGGGATGGAGGGCCAAGAGGCCGTCACAAAGGGTGACAGGTAAAAGAGTTGTCTAGCTGTCACCACTGTCAGCGAGGGCCGACCGAAACTTCATCGGTGACCCGGCTCTGGCATGAGCTTCTCACCACGAGCATTTGCTATTCTAGTAAAAATAATTACTCCCTCCTTTCCTGGATCGGCTTTGAGCAGTCGTCAGCGCAAAATGCCGGTCGTGAGTCAAGACGACATCCATAGGTAACGTGTGAGCAGCGCTGAGCGAATAAGCAGTGACTGTGCAGCGGACGGAGCTCTACGAGCGGCGGACGGGAGGTGGGCGGAGGGCGGGGGCCGCGCTCAGAGGTCACCGGAGGACGCCAGTGGACGCGCCTAGCCTTGGACGCGCCGACCGAGGCCGACGGACCGGCCAGTGCTGGCCCAGATGGCGTCTTCACCGCTCGTGCTGTTGCTGCTGCTGCAGACGGGGGTTGTTTGGGGAGCCGAGACGGCGGACCAGACAGGTAGTAGAGCACTTCATGGGCCGGATAAATCCGTTATCCACGGATAAATCCACGGACCGGATAGGATTGGATTCTAAATTTGTTATAAAAGAACGGATATGGGCGGGCCGGATTTGGGAATTGAAGGTTGAACCCGGATCAAAACGGATCAAAATTTTAACATTCAACATTGAAGTTAAAAATTAACCTATTGAAGGATGATACCTAGTTTACCAATGTGGTGATTTTCATGTGGTTTTAGGTTTATAAGCATGGTTTTTTGAACCATGATGGTCTGTGAGATGTATGGCTGTCTGGTCCCTTAGATTGAACTTGTTAGTCCAGTTTTGGGTGAAACCAGTTATTGGTGAAACGGATTATTACGGATATTTTTTGGAAGTTTGGCTGCAATACGGGCCATGGGTGGGCCGGATTCTGATATTCAAAGAAAGGCGGATAATGGGCGGATCTGGATATGACTTGCCGGATATGGGCCGGGCCGGATCCTAAAAAGCCTATCCGTGAAGTGCTCTAACAGGTAGGTAGGCGGCGGGCGAGAATGCTGACGTCGCGCATTTTGCTGTTGTTAATCATGAAACGAGGTAATTTTTAATGATAATTCACATCCCATCGTGTATTTCTCTTCCTCGGCGGCTTCAGGCTTGTTTGCCCCCACCGCGCTCCCAAAAAAGGTTGCGATTGAGCCGAGGGAAAGCTGCGTCATATAAATATACCAATAAAATGCACGGGGTAGAATAAAACATCGGCGGCCGATCTGCAGGGCCAGGCTGTACCGACCGCCCCCCGTGCCCGCAGTTCCGCTGGGTGAGCTGCACTGCAGTAAGGGCGGATCGTGGTGCCCTTCCGGTGAGACCTGCGGAGGTCCCGTCTGCGGCCCCGGGCCACGCTGCTGCGACGAGGCCGTCGACGCCTTCCTGCAGAGACGTGAGCGGTAGAAGGAGGGCTAACTTGTATCTGCCAATAGCCGATCAATAAGTACACTCATTGTTCAGCTGATAGCTATGTAGTTACTAAATAAAGAAACTGCTACTTTGATTAGAAATGAGACGAATAAGAAGTTCCGCCTAGTAGGTAGGACGTTACTGCAAATTGCAATTAGTTTATTGCCACCAACCTGATTGCTAAACGACATCTTTCTGTGACGTTTTATCTTCAGCTGTCATTAAGACCCATATAACAGAGCCGAAAATCACCACATCATGCAGCTGCCACGGCACACTTGCAAGCTGAATCAAATCACGGCTATTTTCCCCCATCAGCGGTGCTCCTTCGGCCGCCGATCCTGCCGTCTGACGTCAAAGGAGCGCCTCCGATCGACTCCATCGGGAGCGTCAGAGAGCCGCCTTCGACAGAGACGGCGAACAAGCCGCCGCCGCCGCCACGTCGCTGTCGGCCCGGCACAAAATGCATCGGTGAGTGCGGAACTTTTGCCGTCTGAATGGGGGGTAATTAAGACCGACTGCATTGGTTTTGCCTAGTGAAACTGATATCGATTTTATTTCGATGAGCAATCGGATGCAGTGTAATTCATTCACTGTCGCGCACCATGAGAAATTGATTAAATGTTCATGCCGTCTCAATATATCTCCAGCAATTTGAGTGTGCCGCACTTAGCTTTATCGAGTACGACTCACTCAATTCAATCTACTCATATCCCTAGAGGTATGGCTGACTTTCCATCAACTGTGGTGTCCCGCTGTTCCCAGATAACTTTCCCTGCGAGCAGGGCGGCTCGTCCTGCCCCTCCGGACAGACGTGCGGAGGCAGCTGTGGCCCCTACACGTGCTGTGCACTGCGTGAGTATCGGCGACTGAGGACTGGGGGTGACGGACTCACAAGGCACAATAGACGACGTTTTATGAGTGTAACATAACTAGAACGTTTCGGCCCTTTCCACATTTCTCCTACCGTTTGTTTAGTTGTGTTCGTTGCGACCGACAAGAGTTGAGTTCGTACTCAATTATAGCCTTCGTGGTTGTATGGTATGTAAATAATTCAGCTCGTTTCAGAAGAGGAAAACGTGCGCCGGCTGCTGCCAACACATGGCTGGTCAATCTCGAATTAACCGAATCAAAGAATCAAAGAATCAAAGTAATCAGATCGGACACGCAACATTACACCTCCGTTTAATAAATATCGGTCGTTATTTCCTGAATGCACCGTTTAAATAAACAAAATTATCCACTTAGCTAGCACAATCCACTTAGCTAGCACTACCTGCCTAGTGTCGTGGTAATGCTCCCTGACATTTGTATCCCTGCGTCCTTATGACAACGGCTGCCACTGGCGTTCGTTCGGCAGCATCGTCGGCCTGCGGTGAGGGCGGGAACGTCTGTCCCGCCGGGTACATCTGCCGGCCGTGCCCCCTGCCCGGCGGCGCCTGCTGCTGTGAGTATATAGAGGGAGTATGTACATATGTACTAGTGGTGTCATTTTCCAAAAAATGGCTGACCGATACCGACCGAAACCGAATTTTGGGAAACATTTCCGACCGAATACCGACCGATAACATCCCAAGCCAAAATTTGACCGAAACTTGACCGAAATTCTAGTTGCTATTATTTTACCCCCGAATTAAATAATTTGGTAAATTCTGATGGAAAATAATCGGAAATAGCATTTCAGTTCAAGTTCAGTCAATTCTTAGCCGTGCTGCAAAATACATTTTTTTGTGGTAGAAGTTACATTGCTAAGGGTAGATTGCATGGTAAATTGGCTAAGGGTACCTACATTGCACTTAACTAGGTAAAAATGGAATGCTTTCTCTTTTTGAAAATGGTTTTACTGACAGGGTGGCCGAAAATGTCCGATATTTGGGGGGCCTGACCGACCGATTACCGAATCGGTCAGCACATCTTTTCGGTAACCGAATTTTTCGGTAACCGATTGACACCACTAATATGTACATACATATAGAGGGACTATATAGAGGGTCCGGTTTAGATATGTCAATCGGATACCAACTTTTTGGTATACCGATACCAAACCGATACCAACTTGGTATTTGGTATTTCAATTCTAATGTGTTTGGTATTTTGTTGGTATTATGAAACCTTGCTAATGTAGGGGAAGGAGGGTGAATTGCGCCACCTTAAGGAAAAACGCTAATTGTAAGAAAACCGCTGGAGATATAAGCATGCATTGGTGACCATTTCAAAGAGGAACTCATTGGCTACGATTTAAGAACCTCCCGATCAATTAAGAATGTTTCGTTTGCTTCTGACAGCTGCTTTTTCAGAAACATGTAAAAGGGCGCATTTGCCAACAACTGCTGTAAATTGCGCCAGGGGGATGGCGCAATTAGAACCCAATTGCGCCCTATACTTTAACATGGCTAAGCGAATGAGACGGAATGCATACACCCCGGCAGTCTAATGTCATTGCGGCTTACTTTAACATTCATAATGTTATTCACACGGGTTAAATAATAAATGTAGGTGTAAATCGCGATGTTTTTTTTTTGCCCAGGTAGATAACTTTACATGTGTTCGTACGCTTGTAAAAGTGCAACGAAAACGTTTACTGCAACTGACTAGATATATGTGAACGTATGCGCCTATACGGTTACATTTCCAATCGTTTCTCTCAAAATTAATAATTTTTATTGTTTCGACAGCTTTATGACATCAATTTTTACTTTTTTATCATAGCTGTCACCTCTCACGCCTGAGTCCATGTTGAAAATGTCGTATTTTGTCAATTACACCACAAGTTCGTAGCCTAAATGGCAGCTGCATTATAAGTTTGACGAGAGAAATAATTTGCGGACTGACGACAGCGGGTTGCTCCCCTGCCTGACATTAAACTCCTTCTTTATTGCAATCAGTTAATGATGCATTCATGCTGTCGTGATATACAATAGCAACACCATTATTCTATTTGCGCCCCCCTGGCGCAATTGCCATGGGCGCAATTAAAATTGAGGTAGGGTGAATATGTCAAAAACGCCCCCCTTAAGCGCGAAACCTTCTGACACTCAACCCAACACAGATTACTTAAACCTTTGGGCACCATCATGTAGCTCATTCTTTTTACTACGCTTTGAGACCAAGAAAAGACACCTGCGTGTGGTATTTAACCCCCCAAAAAGGTTTTCGCATACCCTTACAAAAGGGCGTTTTGCCCCATACCCTGGGTAATACGCCCACACCCATGTGCAAAGCGCCCCCACCCCATCCATCAACAGAAAATGATGAACATGGCAGAACTTGACGTCATTCTGACGTCATTTGTGGTCAACCTATCACAGCCTTTGGAATAAAATTTTGTTGCAATGTGTGATGCCCGGAGGAGTCCTGAAAGTTTGGTGACGATATCTGCAGTCGTTTAGGATATATGTATCAGCAAAAAAGGACAGGGAGAGGCCTTTTCGGCCCCGACCTACAGGGCGCTACCCTGCACTCTCACCACCGTGCAAAACGCCCCCCTTTCAGAAAACTGGGGGCGTCTTGCCCCATGCATCGAGTAGGCGTCTTGCCCCATCCACTGCATTTCCGGTCAACAAAATATTGACAAAAAACGCGCCACTAACGCCGCAGCATAATACATTCAACAGAATGACAATAAAACGCAGTTTTGAGTGATGTGCACAATAGCAAGTTTTGTGATATAAAGAGGGCATTAACCCTCGCATGTGTGCGGCGTTTTCCAGCTTCTAATGTGTAGGGGGGGGGTCGGTTGGACCCCCCCCTTGCCGTTTGGCCCCTGATCGAGCTAGAGCTTCGCGGAAAAAACGAGCTTGTTGCCCGTGACGAGAGGAAGCCGATGATACCCAATTTTAAGGTCCTAGGTCATTGGTTGACCTTCCAGGTCAGGTCAATGACCCAAAGTCGGGAAAATCGGGACCTGTTAGAAAGTCGTAAAGTGTGGCTGCTAAGGGGTTTTTCGGGGTGCTGATCACGAATATCGTGTTAGTTTTGATCACAGATGATGTCTTGAAGCATTTAGACCAGGTCGGGTCAGGTCAGGTCAGGTCAACCAGTAGGCGTCGTGACGGGTATTCGTAGTACGTGTCAACCGCCTCTGACAGCTTCGTAACATGTTACGAAGTCACCAAAACTACTTCGTAAATGTTCAAATGGTTGCTAAATTCGAATTCAGCTCCAAAAACTAGCCTAGAAACATGTAAAACTCGAAAAAGTGACCCGAGGTCACCCGAGGTCACCAAAGGTCAATGACCTGACCTGACCTTCAGGTGACCTTGACACACACGGGAGTAACATCAAATCACATGTTTGAACGTTTGAAACCACGAAAAGCTTGCAAACACGCGGCTAGTGCGAGCCGACATACGCGAAATCGCGATTACGGCCAAACATGGTCTCGGAAAAGAGGTCACAGGTCAAAGGTCATTTGGGTCAGGGTCATGAAATTTTCAGGGTAGGTGTAAAATTGATCAATGCGAGGGTACTGAAAGTTTCGTCGCGATCGGCCGCTTTTTACGCGAGTTATTCGCGAAAAACCATGGGGGGGGTCCATCCGACCCCCCCCTACACATGCGAGGGTTAAAATATTAGGAATCTTCTGTAAAAACAACAAAAACCACACCCAAAACCAACATCAGCACCTACCCACGCTGCTCCTCAAGACGCAGAACCGGAAATACAGACCTAAGTAAACAAGCAGCTGACTGTTCTGAAAGACAGGATAAAACACCTATCCGTCGATAAGAAATACGATTTTTTAGGGGAGGCGTTTAACCCAGGGGTGCGTTTTCCCCACAGTTACCCTACTTTTTAATAAAAGCGTGGAAGTTATCATAAAGATGTTGATTGAAGTTAACTGTTTTAGTGAAATATAATGAAAAAAGGGTTTTTCTTTCTAAATATCACTCTGAAAATCACACAAATATCACACATTTTTATAGCCAACGGTTCAAAATACTGCAAAAAAGCTAAGAAAACTCCGTAACATCTTTGATGGCGTAATGAGCCTTGCTGATTGGCTTCATCGGGGAGCTTGGGCCATAAAAGGAACTATCCAGTGGGGAAAATAATGTTTTCGAACACAAAATTCAAAACATGCCATTGAATCGTGGGAATGTTGGTGGGCGCAATTGGTTAGGAGGGCGCAATACACCCACTTTCCCCTACAAGAGGCTAATAAATTGGTAAAAAGTTGGTATTTCCCTCATCTTTCAAAGTTGGTTCGGTTTCGGTATTTCCCCACGGTTTTGGTTGGTATTTGGTTTGGTATCGGTATTCCGATTTTCTGTAATTGACATCACTAGTCCGGTTGACCCAGTGGATACGACTCCCGGCCGTTCCACCGGCCTGTTGATGTAAGTGTCCGTCCGTCCGTCCATCCGTCCGTCCTTCCGTCCGTCCGTCCTTCCGCAACTCCGTCCATCCCGTCATCCATTCAATCAATGATCCATTCATTCGTTCGTTGATTAATTCTTTCGCTCCGTTATTTTGCCAGTTCATCCGTATCTCCGCTACGTTCTAATAATGTTTTTTCTTCACATTCTTGAGTTCGAGTACCTACAACGCTATGAAATATCACATCCCTTTCGTTTTGTTGTGCGTACCTTTTTTATAAAGGGAAAAGAAATAATTTGCTTGGTGACGTTACTCTATGAAGTGATAAGAGAACAAGTACAAATCTGAGCGTTGTGACATGGCTCGGTTCGTTTAGCATTCATCAATGGCTGGCCTTACGAGCAACTAATTTCGGTTTCAGTTTCGAGCTGCAACCACACGAGGTCTTACATAGCCGAGCCGTGTGGGGAGCACGAAATCTGTCTGCCCTGCGAATCCGACAATCAACAACTCTGCTGTCGGCCCCGACCCAATACACTCGGTACGTATAATTGGACATTTCTTTCAGTAGCACTGTCTCATTATTTCTCGGTAAAAGGGCTCTGGTCAGCTTGAAGTCATGGAGCACGCGACATATTACAGAATTAGCTGCACTGTTGACGACTGACCCAGGTCCAATGTGTCTCCGCAGAGAGCTGCCGACGCCGGTGCTCTCGGGAGCCCGTGAAGCGGTGCTTTCTGCACGGGTGTCCGCCAGGGGGCGGCTGGTGCTGCCGAAACCCCCTGACCACCTGAAGTGACGTCACACAATGTACCTAGTGACGTCACCGTACAGGCGGCCGGTGCAGCTGTGCTTGGATGATATCTCTTGGAAGATCATGGAAGACGTCGCTCTCATACGAGAAAACCGAGAGGTGACTGCGATAAATGTAGTGGGCATTTGTTAGGCGCATTGTATCCTATGCGTAGGTAATAGGGATCCTATAGCTGAGTGCACAACGCCAGGTACCTAGATATTTTCTAGCAGTAGCTATGTGGATTCGAGTGTCTGTAGGTAATGCATTGGAATATATCCTGTAACTGAAACGAAATATGTTCAATACATCAGCGATCATCCACTTTGTGTCAGTGGATGACAGATAATGTCACCCCATTTTGACGTCATATTGGCGTTCCTGGAGAGGTCAAAGGGGACGGTTATGGGGGAAGGGGGGCTCGGGGCCGGCCGGGTCAGTTGGACGTTCGAACCTCGAAAGACTCGTCACTCCCAGAGGTCAATAACTGACTTTCTTTGGGCCGGCGGACTTCAATTAATACCAGGGGACTCAGGACGGCCCATGCCATAAACAGACTCAATTTGTGTGATTGCACAATACAGTGAACAGTTAGGCTACCTGGGTAGCGGAATGGATGGACATTTCACTCCGCTGACCGGACGAGATGCTGTCCCATGTCAACTGGATAATTATCTACCTTACAATGTCAACCGGCGGATTATCCACCATACAATGTCAACTGGAGCACCTTACGTATACAATGCCAACTGGAGGATTATCCACCTTAGGCCAGCTGATTCAGCGCTCAGCGCGCCATGGCAAGTCCCTAATGGACATGGTCGCCGATCCCGGCGGCAGGGCGGACGTCAGACAGACACGTTCTCCCGGCCCCCACATTGCAACGGGTAAGCGCAACGACCACTCCAAGGCCCTATCCGACCACTCGACAGATCAGCCGGAGGCTCTCACTCGACAGACAAGCTGGGGGCTTTGAATGCTGGACGTCCGTGAAGTTAGCGTCGTATTCCGCGACGGATTCAGCGTCGAGTCCGAATTTCAACTAAACCCAACCTATCCGATGCAGTTTGGGACGCTGATTCCGAATATCGTATTCATTTCAAATTTCAAGGTCATCTTCAAGGTCAAATCACGGATTGAAATTGAGTCCCCGATTTTTCCTACACCGATCGTCCGATCCGATTTCTGAAGGTCGCATTCGAAAGCTAAGGTCAGAATCTCGAATTCCCTAATATACACCTTATTAAAAATATTTGACCTTAAAGGTCAAATCACGGATTGAAATTTTGAGTCCCCCTATTTTTTCTACACCGATCGTCCGATCCAATTTCTGATGGTCGCAATCGATAGCTAGGGTCAGAATCTCGAGTTCCCTAATATATACCTTATTAAAAATATTTGACCTTAAAGGTCAAATCACGGATTGAAATTTTGAGTCCCCCTATTTTTTCTACACCGATCGTCCGATCCAATTTCTGATGGTCGCATTCGATAGCTAGGGTCAGAATCTCGAGTTCCCTAATGCATATCTTATTAAAAATATTTGACCTTAAAGGTCAAATCACGGATATTCGACCTTAAAGGTCACATCACGGATTGAAATTTTGAGTCCCCCGATTGTTTCTACACCGATTGTCCGATCCGATTTCTGAAGGTCGCATTCGATAGCTAGGGTCAGAATCTCGAATTCCCTAATATATACCTTATTAAAAATATTTGACCTTAAAGGTCAAATCACGGATTGAAATTTTGAGTCCCCCTATTTTTTCTACACCGATCGTCCGATCCAATTTCTGATGGTCGCATTCGATAGCTAGGGTCAGAATCTCGAGTTCCCTAGTATATACCTTATTAAAAATATTTGACCTTAAAGGTCAAATCACGGATATTCGACCTTAAAGGTCACATCACGGATTGAAATTTTGAGTCCCCCTATTTTTTCCACACCGATCGTCCGATCCAATTTCTGATGGTCGCATTCGATAGCTAGGGTCAGAATCTCGAGTTCCCTAATATATACCTTATTAAAAATATTTGACCTTAAAGGTCAAATCACGGATTGAAATTTTGAGTCCCCCTATTTTTTCTACACCGATCGTCCGATCCAATTTCTGATGGTCGCAGTCGATAGCTAGGGTCAGAATCTCGAGTTCCCTTATACATACCTTATTAAAAATATTTGACCTTAAAGGTCAAATCACGGATTGAAATTTTGAGTCCCCTATTTTTTCTACACCGATCGTCCGATCCAATTTCTGATGGTCGCATTCGATAGTTAGGGTCAGAATCTCGAGTTCTCTAATATATACCTTATTAAAAATATTTAACCTTAAAGGTCAAATCACGGATTGAAATTTTGAGTCCCCCTATTTTTTCTACACCGATCGTCCGATCCAATTTCTGATGGTCGCATTCGATAGCTAGGGTCAGAATCTCGAGTTCCCTAATATATACCTTATTAAAAATATTTGACCTTAAAGGTCAAATCACGGATTGAAATTTTGAGTCCCCCAATTTTTTCTACACCGAACGTCCGATCCGATTTCTGATGGTCGCATTCGATAGCTAGGGTCAGAATCTCGAGTTCCCTAAAATATACCTTTTTAAAAATATTTGACCTTAAAGGTCAAATCACGGATATTCGACCTTAAAGGTCACATCACGGATTGAAATTTTGAGTCCCCCGATTTTTTCTACACCAATCGTCCGATCCGATTTCTGAAGGTTGCATTCGATAGCTAGGGTCAAAATCTCGAATTCCCTAATATATACCTTATTAAAAATATTTGACCTTAAAGGTCAAATCACTGATTGAAATTTTGAGTCCCCCTATTTTTTCTACACCGATCGTCCGATCCAATTTCTGATGGTCTCAGTCGATAGCTAGGGTCAGAATTTTGAGTTCCCTAATACTTACCTTATTAAAAATATTTGACCTTAAAGGTCAAATCACGGATTGAAATTTTGAGTCCCCCTATTTTTTCTACATCGATCATCCGATCCAATTTCTGATGGTCGCATTCGATAGCTAGGGTCAGAATCTCGAGTTCTCATATATATACCTTATTAAAAATATTTGACCTTAAAGGTCAAATCACGGATTGAAATTTTGAGTCCCCCTATTTTTTCTACACCGATCGTCCGATCCAATTTCTGATGGTCGCATTCGATAGCTAGGGTCAGCATCTCGATTTCCTTGATATATACCTTATTAAAAATATTTGACCTTCAAGGTCAAATCACGGATTGAAATTTTGAGTTCCCCAATTTTTTCTACACCGATCGTCCGATCCGATTTCTGATGGTCGCATTCGATAGCTAGGGTCAGAATCTCGAGTTCCCTAATATATGCCTTATTAAAAATATTTGACCTTAAAGGTCAAATCACGGATATTCGACCTTAAAAGTCACATCACGGATTGAAATTTTGAGTCCCCCGATTTTTTCTACACCGATCGTCCGATCCGATTTCTGAAGGTCGCATTCGATAGCTAGGGTCAGAATCTCGAATTCCCTAATATAATCCTTATTAAAAATATTTGACCTTAAAGGTCAAATCATGGATTGAAATTTTGAGTCCCCCTATTTTTTCTACACCGATCGTCCGATCCAATTTCTGATGGTAGCATTCGATAGCTAGGGTCAGAATCTCGAGTTCCCTAATATATACCTTATTAAAAATATTTGACCTTAAAGGTCAAATCACGGATTGAAATTTTGAGTCCCCCTATTTTTCTACACCGATCGTCCGATCTAATTTCTGATGGTCGCCGTCGATAGCTAGGGTCAGAATCTCGAGTTCCCTAATACATACCTTATTAAAAATATTTGACCTTAAAGGTCAAATCACGGATTAAAATTTTGAGTCCCCCTATTTTTTCTACACCGATCGTCCGATCCAATTTCTGATGGTCGCATTCGATAGCTAGGGTCAGAATCTCGAGTTCCCTAATATATACCTTATTAAAAATATTTGACCTTAAAGGTCAAATCACGGATTGAAATTTTGAGTCCCCCTATTTTTTCTACACCGATCGTCCGATCCAATTTTTGATGGTCGCATTCGATAGCTAGGGTCAGAATCTCGAGTTCCCTAATATATACCTTATTAAAAATATTTGACCTTAAAGGTCAAATCACGGATTGAAATTTTGAGTCCCCCTATTTTTTCTACACCGATCGTCCGATCCAATTTCTGATGGTCGCATTCGATAGCTAGGGTCAGAATCTCGAGTTCCCTGGTATATACCTTATTAAAAATATTTGACCTTAATGGTCCAATCACGGATATTCGACCTAAAAGGTCACATCACGGATTGAAATTTTGAGTCCCCTGATTTTTTCTACACCGATCGTCCGATCCGATGTCTGAAGGTCGTATTCGATAGCTAGGGTCAGAATCTCGAATTCCCTAATATATACCTTATTAAAAATATTTGACCTTAAAGGTCAAATCACGGATTGAAATTTTGAGTCCCCCTATTTTTTCTACACCGATCGTCCGATCCAATTTCTGATGGTCGCATTCGATAGCTAGGGTCAGAATCTCGAGTTCCCTAGTATATACCTTATTAAAAATATTTGACCTTAAAGGTCAAATCACGGATTGAAATTTTGAGTCCCCCTATTTTTTCTACACCGATCGTCCGATCCAATTATTGATGATCGCATTCGATAGCTAGGGTCAGAATCTCGAGTTCCCTAATACATACCTTATTAAAAATATTTGACCTTAAAGGTCAAATCACGGATTGAAATTTTGAGTCCCCCTATTTTTTCTACACCGATCGTTCGATCCAATTTCTGATGGTCGCATTCGTTAGCTAGCGTCAGAATCTCGAGTTACCTAATATATACCTTGTTAAAAATATTTGTCCTTAAAGGTCAAATCACGGATTGAAATTTTGAGTCCCCTATTTTTTCTACACCGATCGTCCGATCCAATTTCTGATGGTCGCATTCGATAGCTAGGGTCAGAATCTCGAGTTCCCTAATGTATACCTTATTTAAAATATTTGACCTTAAAGGTCAAATCACGGATATTCGACCTTAAAGGTCACATCACGGATGGAAATTTTGAGTCCCCCGATTTTTTCTACACCGATCGTCCGATCCGATTTCTGAAGGTTGCATTCGATAGCTAGGGTCAGAATCTCGAATTCCCTAATATATACCTTATTAAAAATATTTGACCTTAAAGGTCAAATCACGGATTGAAATTTTGAGTCCTTTTACCTTTAAGGTCAAATATTTTTAATAAGGTATGTATTAGGGAACTCGAGATTCTGACCCTGGCTATCGAATGCGACCATCAGAAATTGGATCGGACGATCGGTGTAGAAAAAATAGGGGGACTCAAAATTTCAATCCGTGATTTGACCTTTAATGTCAAATATTTTTAATAATGTATATATTAGGGAACTCGAGATTCTGACCCTAGCTATCGAATACGACCATCAGAAATTGGATCGGACGATCGGTGTAGAAAAAATAGGGGGACTCAAAATTTCAATCCGTGATTTGACCTTTAAGGTCAAATATTTTTAATAAGGTATATATTAGGGAACTCGAGATTCTGACCCTAGCTATCGAATGCGACCATCAGAAATTGGATCGGACGATCGGTGTAGAAAAAATAGGGGGACTCAAAATTTTAATCCGTGATTTGACCTTTAAGGTCAAATATTTTTAATAAGGTATATATTATGGAACTCGAGATTCTGACCCTAGCTATCGAATGCGACCATCAGAAATTGGATCGGACGATCGGTGTAGAAAAAATAGGGGGACTCAAAATTTCAATCCGTGATTTGACCTTGAAGATGACCTTGAAATTTGAAATGAATACGATATTCGGAATCAGCGTCCCAAACTGCATCGGATAGGTTGGGTTTAGTTGAAATTCGGACTCGACGCTGAATCCGTCGCGGAATACGACGCTAACTTCACGCACGTGAATGCTGGCTGATCTCTCCAGTCACAACTCAAGCCCATAGCTGTAAGCTGTCGTTAATTTTGGACGATATATCCCAGCAAACACTGACAAAATGCAAGTGACCTCGCTTTTAGCAACCGATGCACCGACGTCGCTGTTTCAGTTGCATCCTTTATCGTAACCACGCAGTTTTAGTTATGTAATGTAACGCTGCCGCGTTCATTTTCTTTGCGGACGCCGGCTCCCGGCCGCGGCACACCGACCCACAATATCAGCCGGGACGGGGCCAGGCGCAGAGGAGGGCAGCTGCGAAAACCCAACACATTTAGGCCGTGGGAGGGGAAGCGTGTCACCCGCTCCCACCCTAATCTTCAAAGCGTGAGCGGCCGGCTTTGCAGTCTGGCGCCCGACTCTTTTCATAAACAGAGTCATCAGTCGTCCGCCGGCCGACCCCAGCCACCTGCGTGCGCCGCACAGGGCACAGAGGCCCGGCTCTCTCATCTGTCCAGGCCCGGCCCTCTCACGGCAGCTGACATCCAAAAATAACTGGCAATGCCACTGATGACCGTCCGACGACCATGGGAAAATTCTGACCGGACTCAACACAAGAGTATTCTGAAAGGGTAGCACATATCAGCGCCACGTTCGATTAAATCGCTGCAGCTGCGCCTCTGACACGGAACACAAGGGCAGTTTTGAAGCAAACACCTCTATTTTCGAAGCTGAACAGACGAAATGGCATGCCACTGGCCCAAACCTGCGCCCCATCAGAGACACGGGACCGCCTGGAAATCACGCAGCGGCAGGAACATAACACCAGAGCGCACCTGCTTTGGTGACGCTCGCCATGGGAAAGAGGTCATCTTTCGGCCCCTACCCGCACCCCACCAGACGGCCGGCGTCGGCTTCAGTTGACCCGGACACGCGTGCCATTCAAAAACACGCGATCACCTGGAAGGCACGCAGTGGCAGGAGCATAACACCAGGAACCGTCACCGGGCAAGCAGGGCGCAGCTGTTTTCGGCACCGGCCGCCGTGCGAAATGGGTCATCTCTCGACTCCCACACCCTACCCCCCCCCCACACACCAGACGGCCGGTGTCGGCCTGCGATCACCATCGGCATGGAGGGCACGTCTGGCAGGGCGGGCATCGGGGGAGAGGGGGAGCTAAAAGAAGAAAAGTATTGCTATTTCAGGCCGCTCGGTATTAATCAAGGACTCCGCCGAATTCCGGGACATTGAGCACCATTATGCGGTGACCCATATGCAGCTGGACCGCCGCTCCGCCTCTCCCCATCCTCCGCGACCGGCGTCAGGAGTGCGTCTGAGGCTCGAATGGAAGATGGAAATGTGGGCGGAGCTACGACACCATGGCAGCTGGCCCTGAGGTTACATTTTTGTGGGAAGGGGTGGGAGCTTATGAGTTCCCACCTATCAGAGAAAGGAAAATTCGAAATAGGAGGAGCACCGTTGAAGACAAAATATCACCATGACTACGGCCCCCGGAGGGCGCGCTGCAAAAGTTGGACGATTTAAAGCTCAAATCCAGGGTCAAACTGATGGAAACATGAACCTTTTTGGCAAGAAATACAACCGATATCGACAGAAAAGGGGCGGAGCGAAGTTGAGGATTCAGAAGATGGCCCGAGGAGGCGGCGAGAGGGATACAAAAAGGGCAGAAAAGGGAGAGGAGGGGCTCAGGACAACAAGGACAGACAGAGACAGTGGAGCACAGTCCAGTCGGTGGTGACGCAAGAGGTGGACGGGTCGGCGCCGTCTGGCGCCTGCCCTCATCTCTATCTCTCCGGTCATGGCCAGCTTCCCGCCGCCGGCTCGACGACCCAGAGGGCTGACGCCAGTAAACAAGTAAGTCCCTGCACGGGAGCCAAGACCTGCTCGCCGGTCACATTCGCAGTCTGCGCCGGCGGTACCACGCCTCGTCTGCTCGTCTCAATCTCTCGTCATTCAACGGTCAGCTCAGCGCCACCCAGTCAGCCATTGTATCAAATTTGGCACCCAGCACCAAAAGGTTAGCACTGGTGGCACAAGTCTGCTCAGCCCATCTTTTCCTTATCATGTGCCCTGTTTGCCGCCCTGGTCTCTCTCTCTCTCCCTGAGGTGATTAATCCGGCCTTATTGGTTACTGATGGATCTGATTAGAGGGGACAGTAGAATAGGTGTGAGTATATGTGAGTGTGGTGTGTGGGGATAATCGATGGGTTCATTAGCAGGGTCACAGGGGAGGCGTGTCCTGACACCTGGCACTGTGGCGTGGCGTCGTGGTCGGGCTCTGCTCCGCTCATCAGAGGTGCTCCCCGGGTTAATCTCTGAAGGGGGAGGGTAATGCTTTCTGCCTGCGCATGTTAATTATCTGACTGGCCTATCGTCCGGCTTCCGGGTTTGATTACACTTTGTTACCTTGGTTTGCCAATCGTGCCACTAGCTCTTAGGGAAATAGGTTATTAGCGCTGTTATCTTAAATTTGATATCAATTTCTGTTTAGAATTGGTCGGTGTAAAGTCTTTGGCTAATTTGATCTCTCCGCTTTTGTGAATAAACCGGGGATAATGGAACGATTCTTTCAGAGTTAATTGGGAAATGAGATCACAAATGGGGAGCGATCGGGAAGTTTAAACACGTTTATGGCGGGGCCGGGACACTTCGGTGGGCCTTGCAGGTGACAAGACTGGGGGAATATCGTGTGGGTCTCAACGGGATACACAATGGGTCCACTAATCACGAGGATTCCGGCGGCGCAAGTGATTTGTCTCACGTCAGCGTCTGTGCTAGCGGTGCGGCTGAACCGGCCGGCCGATCGGCTGATCACTGATGGCGTACAGTTTGGTGAAGGCGGTTCCGTAGCTAAGTTTCCCAGCAATTAAATCTCCTCAGTCTGTTTGTTTGTTTTTTTCCAGTTAATTCTTTACCCCGTTGCAAAATATCGTCAGTCCATTATCGTCATTTACCGGCCTTCATTTCGGATATCTCAGGTTAATTTCGGTATAGAATCAGTAGCTCACACCTCAGACTTATCTGATCAGCTAATAATTTGTTTTATGCAGCATCTGTTAGGTACTTATTTTCAAATACTTTGAAATAACATACGTGCCATGACGCTGTACTTTGTGTTTTGCCGTTTCTTTGTTGTGCTTTTAAAAACGTAAGCGAAATGGACGTGCTTATGGTTAAATTTTAACTGTTATTATGGTTCGGTCTCCAAAGTAAAGTAGAACCTTTGATGGGAAGCAATCCGACTTGTCCTTATAATTCATGAATAGCTCGATATCGCCTCGATCGACTTACAGAATTGCTTTGCGTTCAGATTCCTTACGACACGGTAAAATGCAGTAGTACGCTACACATTTATATCATTAGCTGTCCTGGTGATTAAGTGATAGGATTATCCAAGGAAAGAATAGGAACAATCGCGTGCCATTAATCACTCAACCCGCGGCCGGGTGGCGACGGTCAGCTGCGCTCTCGGAAGGAATGCGGGGGGGCGGTCTGCCGCATGGGAAGGGATCAGACGGGCCGGGTGGAGCAGCGGATTAGCGAGTCGGAGCGGGACGGACGGCCGGGCGCGCGTCGGGAGCGTGACGGGGCCGTGCGAGGTCAGTGACAAGCAATTACGCTGTCAAAGAACGATTGAACATGGACTTTTGTTTGTAAGGGAGGAGATCAATGCGGTTAGATGTTCAATTAGGGCATTATATTAGTTGAGAATGATCTGGATAATCCGATTAAACCTGAGGATCATTCAAGTCATCTAACATTTAACGGACACTGAAGTTGATCCATTTTTACAGTGCATTCAAGTATGCGTGTAAATAATCGACACCGCCACCTTCCCAACTGTGGTCATCGTCCAGTCGATCGATAAGTCGTCGGCCTGTCTGTCTGTCTGTCTGTCTGTCTGTCTGTCTGTCTGTCTGTCTGTCTGTCTGTCTGTCTGCCTGTCTGTCTACCTCTCTGTCAGCCCATCTGTCTGTCGGTCTGGCCTGTCAGTCCGTCGGTCAGTCCGCCGGTGGTTTAATCTGTTGGTCGGTCAATCATGTCGGTCTGCCAGCCCGTTCGTCTGTTTATTCGTCAGATTGCACGCCATCCAGTCGGTGAGAGAGTCGACCTGTCTCGCTAGCCACCCCGTCGGTTTGTCGGTCCAATTGTCTGCACGTCCTTCTGTCAAATGGGTTAGATTGTCGGTCCGTGGATTTGTCAAAATGTCGGTCGGTGCGTCTGGCGACCGTCCATGAATGTCTGGTTGTCTGGCTCCCCTTCCCTGTAGTTAGCCCTTCCCTAAAAACGCTCACATCATCCACTTCCCTCGTCTCTCTCTCTCTCTCTCTCTCTCTCTCTCTCTCTCTCTCTCTCTCTCTCTCTCTCTCTCTCTCTCTCTCTCTCTCTCTCTCTCTCTCTCTCTCTCTCTCTCTCTCTCTCTCTCTCTCTCTCTCTCTCTCTCTCTCTCTCTCTCTCTCTCACTCTCACTCTCTCTCTCTCTTTCTCTCTCTTCCCTCTCTCTCTCTCTCTCTCACTCTCTCTCACTCTCTCTCTCTCTCTTTCTCTCTCTTCCCTCTCTCTCTCTCTCTCTCTCTCTCTCTCTCTCTCTCTCTCTCTCTCTCTCTCTCCCCTTTATCTTTCGTCTTCCCATTCATTTTGCCCGGAAAGGTCCCCCATTGCGGGTGATGTCGATTGTTTATATAACACGGGAGGAATCACAATTGTAAACGATCAGTACGACAGGTGTCCAGCGCGCTGCACTCATAATAGCATGTCGCCGCGGTAGACGGAAGCGGTCCCCGCAGTCGAGCAGAAACCGCGCCGGGCCGGCGCCCGCCCCGATAATCCTCACCGTCCGCTCGGTTCGCGGCGGGGTCAGGGTCATTAGCGCATACCAGCCGACCGGCGCCGGGACAGGGTACATCGCCGTCTGGTCGGGGAGACCCCAAGAGGGGAACAGCGGACGGCCGTGCCGTATGGACGGCTAGTGCCTCCAGTCCAGTTAGCCCGCTGCCGAGCTCGCTGCCGAGCTGGCCGACCGAGTTGACCGGTGGTCCAGTGCGACGGTCACCCCTGCATGACGTCACCATGGCCTGGACGGCGCACGGCACCACCGGTCGTCCCCAAATATGCTCTGCGCGCCACCCCGTGGCGTAATAGAGCATCACTCCTTCCTGAAGACGGTCCAGAGGGCCATCCTATACAGACTGGCATGGCGCCCCGCGCCATTCTCAAGCAGAAGGCAGCCGCCCGACCCCAGCGAGCGGTCATTAAGGGGGATTAACTGCCAGCGGGGAGCAGAGCCGTCCCAGAGGGGCGGCGGTGGTGCGTTATGGGCAGCTACTGGTTCTATCCCAGTAAAGGGCCGCAAAGCTCACTGCAGATCACTGCAGAACTGACTGATCGCTGTCAGGGGCGTGACGTCTGCCCTCAGGCAATGTGAGAGGAGATGTTGTCGATCGGTGCCCTCCGGGGCCATGCAGGCCGCTCCAATTGTGCACTTGACGGTGCTATAGCCCCGGTCCACGTAGGCTCACCCGGACCGCGCCCACTATTCAGGGTGACTGAGAAACACATGGTGATCATCCTCGTGATGTCATGGGCCTAATGCCAACAGCGCCCTCAGATGAGTGACGTCATAGGCCCGGAGCCCTCAGTACGTCGGGCTGGTCATGCCATTCATATTCATTTACATTGGAGAGTAGGAAAAGGACTCGTTTGGAACCTTTGATGACGTCATCGGAACTATTCTTGCCGTGACCATCGATGAGTGACGTCATTGACACAGGACTCTCGACATGCCGGGGCAGGGTGCACCATTCATACGCGCGCGCTTCTGAGAACAGTAAAAGTCTCATTCCGACCCTTTGATGACGTCATTGATTATAGTTCGAAACCCGGTTCGGCGACCGATGTGCGTAGGGCCCTGCTTTCTTAGATTCTGTGTCGGCAGCAGTGGTAATTTCAGTATGTTAACCCGCGCCCCACTGGGGTCTGTGTATAACACGCCCTACTGGGGGGGGGGGGGCTATTCATAGCCCCCCCTCATAACTCCGAAACTACTGGGCCGATCGTCAAAATTCAAACGGCGTCTGATAGCCCCGGAAAAACTGTCGAGCGAAACCTAATTTAATTGACCTCGAGGTCACCGATGACGTCACAGGTCAGGTCAAAGTAAAAATTATTAGCACTTTGGCTTGTTCACATTTTGGGCTCTGGCCGCCGTCTTACAAGTCAGATCAGGCTCATTTTTGGTTTCCACACTCGTGAACAGATGCTCTAGATACCTTGAGGGTACCAAACTTGTACTTTGATTTTCAGGTCAGGGTCAGGTCATCACAGGTCACGAAAATATTATATCATGCGTCGGTCACGTGACACATGTTTTATGGTCCATTTAGGCCATAGATTTCGAATTTGATGTCGTCTGTGTCATTCAAGGTCATTTTGAGTCGAAATTAGCTTAGGTCAGGTCACTTTCAGGTCAAAAAAGGTCAAATTTTTAAGTTGAAATTTTTCAACAAAAAAGGTGTCTATTGGATGCAGTTTGAGCTCAGGAACACGATGGTGCCATTTATATTGGTGTACGATGCCAAATACGTACTGAAAAATTGATTTGAAAAATTAATAATTTTGAATTTTTTGCAATAATGCGTATAACTTGGCCATTTTTGAAGATATTTAGCTTAAACTTGCTAGAGTTAGTCATAATTATGCGTTCTGTCACATATATTCCGGTTTTTTCGAAAAGTCTAAAACTTTTTGAAAAAAATATAAAAATATAAATTTTGAATATTATTATATAAAATTTTCAAAATTTTCAAAATTTTGAAAATCTAAGATAGCAGTTTGATAGCGCGGTCAATTCTGAGTCCTTTCATGCAAAGAAATTGGATCTAGCTTAAAAACTGAGCTCTTGGGAGCGATTGCCGTGGTTCAATGTTTTGCGTCGAAATCGGACGAACATGACGTCACTCTGACGTCATTTCCGGCCGACCTATGGTAGCTACGAAGTTCAAATTTTGACACAAGGTGTCAAATTGATGCAGCCGAAGGTACTGAAAGTTTGGCGTCGATTCGTCAAGCGGTTTGGAAGTTATTGCAGAAAAACGGGAGGGGGGGCTATAAATAGCCCCCCCCCCCCCAGTGGGGCGCGGGTTAAGGGCGAACATGGTCGTAGTTTTTTATGTTTTTTTTTTTTTTTTAAGGATGGGATACTCTAGGAGGGATTACGAGCTAAGTATAGGATAAAGGATACAGATATGGGATACATTGGTTGGCGTAACGTTTAGGGGCTGCGAGGCTGTCTATGCATGTGACACCCCTGTGTGTGATAAGCCCACCGACGCGACTACTTCACTGATGAGAGATGGGAGTGGGGAGGAGAGTTTAAATTAAGCTATTGAATGTCTAAACTATGGTAAATGTATGTCAGTGCTCGTTCGAGATTACAGTTCACAGGGAAGGTTATAGAGAGCCAAGGTAGTAAAAGGGTAGGAAGGCCGGACTAATGGAGGGTACAGGTCAGGTACGAGTAAGGCCACCGGGAGGTCAGGACGTTGGATTTCTGGGCCAAGAGGAGGTCGGGAAGTTACGGTTACAATTCAGGGGTATGAGACGAGGAAGTAGTAAATTTGGTTATTGGGTGCTGGACACTAAGGAGGTCGGCTCTGTTGGCTTGTTTCGCAGGTTCTCCGTCCTTAGGTAGTTAGATATAGATAATTTCGTTTACTTAATTATTTTGTGCGCGTTTTACTCTGAGTCATTTCGAGGCAAACGTATTTCGGGCAAAGGTTCAACATCATTCCGTAGACAGTGACGACGACCCAAGTGACTCAAACAACATGCTCTTACGTTTGAATGATCTGGCTCGTCAAATGCCCCTCTGGATGTTTCTACGGCGTAAGTCGGGCAAAATAAATAGCCGTGTCTCGGTCACGGCTAAGACCCATATGATTTATAAGTCCTGATGACTCAGGCGGGAAACCGGTGGGGTGTGACGGAGCATTCACGATGAGTGTACAGGCCGTCGCACCACCTGGCTTTGGGGAGGTGCCAGAACGGTGCCTTTCAGATCTTATATCTCCCCAATGACCAGTTCAGAGGGACACAGAAAGTGTTGCTCGATTACGGGAGGTTCTCATGCATGAATGTTCGATTCAGGGTGTGAGTTTTCCCCGGTATTGCGTGAGGGCACAGCGTCTCACGAACGTGGATTGTCGCGGAGAGAGCCACCGTACGGGATTGTTCACCCGTTCGTCAACATTTCGGCCGCCGGAGTGGTTCTAAAGCGAGGGTCGATCGGCATGGATCGGTATACCCCTCAGGCAGGAAGCATTCCACCCGCCTTTAACTCCCCACTCCGGTATCAAAAAGTTAGGTTATACCCGGCGTATTCTGCCGAACGGGGTCCACCGCAGGAGCCCTTTCACCAGCAGATCACGAGAACGGATTTGGTTAGGACCTGGTCACGCTGAAAATTATTGTGCACGGATAGCGCAGGAAAGCGCGGGAAGGTATTCAGGGAGGTCAAGGAAGGGTATTTATTGCGCCGGGGTGGCGCAGGGAAGGAGACCGGCTTGAGTTCCGGTGCCGGCCAGGTAACATTTTACAACCACGCGTTCGTGTCATGTGACTGCTGTAAGTCGGCATTGGCCCTGTCGCAGTTAGTCAGGTAGCTATGGCCACGCGGTGGTTTATTTTCTTGTGTAGGGTCTGCGACGGCAGTTAAAGGAAGGGTGACTCGAAGGTTGTAAGAGCTCGGGTGGCGTCCCGAGGGGGGGGGGAGACTAGAGCATCAGAAAGGTGTATTCATATTTGTCTCAAGAACCTGGAAGGGGGAGTCGCTCCAGAATGGTGCGCAGTACACTCCCTCAGGCCAGATGCGGGGCAGTGGCAGAAAAGTCGGCTGTTCCTAGGCCACGGGCGGTGAAGGGACCCGGGGGGCGTGGGAGGAGGTATACCCCACAGCCGTGGTTTGTCGTTGGTGGAAGCCACGGGGACGAGGTAGGTGAATCGTCGGAGTTTCGGCCACCCGGAGTGATTCAAAAGGAGGATCGGAGGAAGTCCCCTCTTTCAATGCAGGGAGAATCCGGCCTGCTATTAAAATCTCACTTCGACAAAAGTTAGGTTCTGTCCATCACGGAAACCCCGGTATAGTGCTACCTGCGGAGCCTGACTGACGGATCTGTGACCCGGGGGATAGGCAGGGCACGGCCGCACCACCGGCGGCGTGGAAGTTTGGTCCATCACATGCCGGTTCTGCTCCGGCATGTGACCGCGGCGTTAATGTTAGGATTTTAGGCCTCCGCTGCCGTAGATATCAGAAAGAGGGGAGGGCCAAGATCCGACAAGGTATGACGTGTATGTTATTGTCACTCGATCGGTATTATCTATGATGATTGAGCCATATTGGTTAATTGTAAACGGAAATCGCAGGGTGAGTAAAGCCGGTTGGAGTTAATGAGTATTTTGGGAAGGGTTGTATTTTTTAGGGGCGAGCTTTAAGTTAAGAGAGAACTATAGCAGTCGAATGGGAATAATACATTTTACCAAGCAACGGACGTACATTCTAAGGAGGAAATTTCCAGAGATCATGTATAATGGTAAAGGACAAAGGTTTTGACGCATGCTTACGAACGGCTACTGTACACCACTGGGGGAGGTTAGGTAAACAGGGAGGGGCCAGTTTAGCGACCTGGCGTTTTAATTTGTATCAAAGGAAGGTATGCATGATGGTGTGAATGGGAGCATGAATGGTTATATCCAGTGGGAGGCGCCCCTCTGTGCAGTTAATGGAATTTTGCAGCGTTAATGAACTTTTGTTATTTTAATCCTTTGATCGGGGAGAGAGATGTATCAGGGTAACCTTGTGAAAAATCCTTTTTTTTGCATTCCAACTTAACCCCATTGCCCACTCCATCAGTGTAGCAGTCTATATGCCCCAGTGACTGACCAGCCTCGCAAACAAACAAACAAATAAAATATCTTGCAGCCGAGCCCCGCTACAGTAACATGTTGTTTTCAGTGACATCCGTGTTTCAGCCACATCCGTTTACACACGTGTCAGTCCCTCCCCTCTTGTTAACAGTACACCACTGACCATATAGGTACACACAGCTCCCCTCTGCATCCAAAGGTCGCCCATCCGCTCCGCGGAGGGGGCCGACCGTCACCGACAACCTTTCTCGCAGGTATAAGATAGGGGGTCATCAACATGGCTGCATTATACGTTGTCAACACGCTGCAGAGAGTCCCAGAACAGCGTGCAGCAGCGAGTGAAGCCATGGCGCCCGTTCAATACCTTCCACTGCTGGTCTTGCTCTTATTGGGACTACTGGCCACGGGTAAGTTCGTCCTGCGCTGCATTGTTCCTTGCTGCTTCCAGAAAGCATTACATGCTGAACTTAAGCATAGCTCACAACATTTATGTAAGCGTTGTGGAAAAAGTAAAAACTCTCTTCTTTTAACTCTCCTCGGCGTTAGGCAAAATGATCGGATATCGACTTTACTTAACCTGATGATCGTTTTTCGTCTTTCACTTGTTCGCATAAGCATTACGTATGCCCATTTTACTTCTCACTCGTCGTGTTCGTCGACATTTGGTCTAACATCGTCATCTCTCTGCCACAGGCGGCGTGTCGGCGGCGCCTCAGCTGCAGGCGCTGGGTGATGTGCTCGGAGTGGTGGGAACGCTGCCGAAAGTGTTAGAAGTCGTACCCAAAGTGGTGGAAACGGTACCGAAAGTGGTAGAAACGGTATCGAAGGTGGTAGAAACGGTACCGAAAGTGGTAGAAACCGTACCGAAAGTGGTAGAAACGGTACCGAAGGTGGTAGAAACCGTACCGAAAGTGGTAGAAACGGTACCGAAAGTGGTAGAAACGGTACCGAAGGTGGTAGAAACGGTACCAAAGGTGGTAGAAACCGTACCAAAAGTGGTAGAAACGGTACCGAAAGTGGTAGAAACGGTACCGAAGGTGGTCGAAAAGGTACCTAAGGTGGTCGAAACGGTACCTAAGGTGGTAGAAACGGTACCGAAGGTGGTAGAAACGGTACCCAATGTGGTAGAAACGGTACCAAAAGTGGTAGAAACGGTACCGAAGGCGGTAGAAACGGTACCCAAGGCGGTAGAAACGGTACCGAAAGTGGTGGACGTGGTAAAAGATGTACCCAAGGTTGTTGGAGCGGTGGACAAAGTGGGCTAAGGCGGTCGAACGTTGATACAGAACATCAAGAATAGATCCTCCACTCACAAGGTCGGGCTTATGCAGACCGCAAAATGCCGTACCGAAAAATAAATGTGAAGTCGAATCGATGCATCTTTATGTTTCATATTCACCCATACCTCGTCGAGTTTTAGCACTTCGTCAAATCGCAGCCGATTGTAAATGCGCTTGGAAATAAACGTTGACGTGTGTTGTTAACAAACGCATGTTTCATGGTTAGTTGTCAGCAACGAGCTGTGTTAATTTAGAACTGCGATTCGGAGCCATGGGTCCTTGATATAGGTAGGTAGAAACCGGATACAATCCATACATTCTCTTAGTTCTATCCGTCACTGGAGGCTAAAACTGCGATCGTTCAGTTCAGTCGATGCATGTAGCCTGACAATCAGCATTTGCCTTTCGGAGAGGTCACAACGTAATTTGGTGGCCTGACCTCAGCCACGCAGCCTTTGAACTTTTGCCGCTTATCTTCTTCCGTGGTCAGACAAGAGCCAGTTTACGTAACAACTGTACCTAAGGGTAGCGTTTTTTTTTAAGGAGGTTGAAATCGGATGAGAGCTGCAGAGACATCGGGTCCGAAAGAAATTCTGAAATCCCCATCTTTGCACGGCACATGCCATAAATGATGTATATTGCCATAAGCAGCGATTACACTACACATAGTCATCACTGCGTTTGAACGCGTAGCCCTGACGGTCGCACTCGCAGGCCACGCACCTCGCTCATATAGTTACCTAGGAGAGGGTGGGGCAAAGCGGCTACCCTAACGTTTCTTATGATGCCGACGCTTGATTTTTAAACTTGGAAAAGTTATTTCTGTACCTATCAACGTGATCCCTATTAAATTGCCTGTTATTTCCACTGCGTTTCATTTCTAAGGGCGTTTACGTAAAGGAGATATTGGCAAAAATTTAAACATATCCATTTTGGCCACTTTGCCCCATGTCCTGGGGCAAAGCGGCCACCAGCGACTTCTATAGTCCCGATATGAGAAATAGAATAGTTGCCTCATGTATACCTACCTATACAACTCGATTATTTGATGGTGACAAGATTCAAACGAGGATGATTATTTAGTCTTGTCATCTTCTCACCTGTAAGTAAACAAAGAAAGGATATTTCATGACATAGGCGGCAGAACGGGAAGGGCACCGGGGCACCGTGCCCCCCTTTGATTTTGGCATTATAACATTAGCCCTATGGGCGTTGCATGGAAAGAATGGGACCAAAAGTCGACAGTGCCCCTCTTAAATTGAAGGTGCTCCGCCGCCACTGTTTCATGAAAAAAAAAAACATTTAGCTGCATTTTTTGGTTACTCATGTGGCCGAAAAGTGGCCGAGGCGAACGCATGACGATACATTTAAACATCAATAGCGTTTGTTATCTAAGTTGAAGCAACTTACGGAATTAGGAGCTGTCCATTTTGCCTCGTCCACTTTACCCCGCGCCTAACATCCGAGACAAAAAAAAATCTTCCAGCTCTGTTATTGGTGGGCCAAAACGCATTAAAATTGGCAGAGGACATGTACGATAACCACTCAATGCAGAAACGAGGGCTCTTAAATAAACTTCAAACGTTATGGAAAAAATAGCACTTAAAAAGCGCAATAACATTAGGCTAATAAAGCCCGTGGAGAGGACCACACGTTGTGGAGGAACGCACAAATGACGTGGTCTATCGCACCCGACGAGACCAGAGGACCAAGGCGGTGGCGGTGCACGAAGACCGCCTGAGGTCGCACCGAGAACAGGCCAGGGATCAGAACACCAGTCCCCTAGTTCACCGCGAGAGGAAGCCGAGGTCTGACTACAGGCCTTCGGCGCGGTGGTCGTCGGCGGCAACGGCCGGCCCGTTACCGACCCACCTGGGAAAACACGCCTTTCCGTCCGTCACGGAAAAATGGCCACGGGTCGGAAACCCCGGTCTGGCTCAATCGAACGACCGCGAAGAGAAGTATAATTGGCAAGCATAAATTGGAGCTGACGCCAGTTGTGGAGGGCTCAAAGGAAGGGTGGTCTCTTTGCCCCGGGTGGCCGCTTTGCCCCACTCTCCCCTATATTTACCTATAGAGTGAGAGTGCAAGCTTTGCAGCCACATGAATCAATATAGAATGGAGACAACTGGCCTCTGCCCAGTCACCAGCACATGTTTGCAACGTAGTTGTAATCCGTATTTAAACTTCATTAAAATCTTTCAGCACACAAAATCACAAAACAGGTACACTGCAATCTCGCTTTACCGAACCGATGCATCGATCTCGCTGTATCATTTGCATACTTTATTGTTACCACGTAGTTTTAGTTATGTAATGTGTTCTTTCAGTGACGTCTGTCTTTCGGTCGCATCCGTTTAGTCAGTCGCTCCCCTCCTGTTATCACTACGCCTCATAGGTGCATGCAGCTCCCCTCTGCATCCAAAGGTCGCCCATCCGCTCCACCGTCATCGACAACCTTTCTCGCTGGTATAAGATAGGCTGTGACCACCATGGGTGCATTATTATACGTTGTCAACAATCTACAGAGAGCCACAGAGCAGCGCGCAACAGCGAGTGAAACCATGGCGCCCGTTCAATACCTTCCCACCGTTGGTGGTGCTCATATTGGGGCTACTGGCCAAGGGTGAGTTCGTCCTGCGGTGCATTGTTCCTTGCTGCTTCACATTTGCTGAATGCGTTAAAGGTGCTGAAGTTATAACTCGCAACACTTAGTGAATATTTTGGAAGGAAACAGCTAGTTTCTTTTACTCCTCTGGCCTCTGGGTCTGGGTAAAAGCAACAGGGCCAGGCATAGACTTGGCTTGATTGAATTCTCCTTTCGACTTCCAATTACTAGTTATTGCATGTCGATTTTCCTACTTATTCTTGCAACTAGAGTAGGCAGAGAAACTGAAAACCTACACGCATATACGCCCAGGTGAAAGTCGAAAGAAGTCTTCTATCGGGCCAGTCGCTCTTGTGCGTCGACATGTCGTCCAACATTGTCATTTTATATACAAATCCGTTATCTTTCCACGATTCATCCCAGCGGCGCACAGTGATACATATATACCTACCCTTGCGTTAACATCAAAAGAAAGCTAAACACTACAAAAGTCGCTGCACTCCCTGCTAAGAAGAGGACTTAAACATCAAAGAAGCCGAATATTATACGTACCATGTCCCCTAATTTGGTTAGTAGAATCAGGAAGCTATAGCAGTTTAAGCCAAATGCCCGAGTCGCTAACCCCGGATTGAGTCGTGCATTGTAAGGAAACACACACGCTTGAAAGGGGGCATTGGTGGGGTAGTTTACGTCTGGTCTATTTCATGCATGTTGTCTTGCCATCCCTCCCGATTGCACATCTATGCTCCCGATGCCATCCAGCTAAGCCGATCTTGTTCTTCTTCTGTCACAGACGGTGTGTCGGCTGCTCCTTCGCTCCTGGGACTGGGTGAGGTGGTCGATGTAGTGGAAAAGGTGCCAGAGGTCGTAGAAGAGGTACCGGAGGTGGTGGAAAAGGTACCAAAGATCGTAGAAAAAGTAACGAAGGTGGTAGAAGAGGTACCGAAGGTGGTGGAAGTCGTGGAAAAGCTGCCAAAGGTGGTAGAAAAGCTGCCGGAGGTGGCAGAAGAGGTGCCGAGGATAGTGGAAGTCGTGAAAAAGCTACCAAAGGTAGTAGGAAAGGTAACGAAGGTCGTGGAAAAGGTGCAAAAGGTGGTAGAAAAGGTGCTAAAGGTGACGAAAGTGGTGGAGAAGCTACCAAAGGTCGTGGAAAAGGTGCCAAAGGTGGTAGAAGTGGTGGAAAAATTGCCAAAGGTCGTGGAAAAGGTAGCGAAGGTGGTAGAGAAGGTGCCAAAGGTGGTGGATGTGGTAGAAAAGCTGCCAAATGTGGTAGAAAAGCTACCAAATGTGGTGGAAGAGGTACCGGAAGTAGTTGAAGTGGTGGAAAAGGTGCCAAAGGTGGTGAAAGAAGTAACGGAGGTGGTAGAAGTGGTACAAAAAGTGCCAAAAGTGGTAGAAGACGTAACAAAGGTGGCGGAAGTGGTGGAAAAGCTGCCGAAGGTTGTGAAAGATGTACCGAAGGTAGTGGAAATGGTGGAAAAGCTGCCAAAGGTGGTTGAAGACGTAGAAGAGGTAGTGGAGGTGGTGGAAAAGCTGCCAAAAGTGGTGGAAAAGGTAACGAAGGTGGTAGACAAGGTGCCAAAGGTGGTGGAAAAGGCGACAAAGGTGGTGGAAAAGGTGCCGAAGGTGGTGGGAAAGGTGCCAAAGGTGGTGGGAAAGGTGGACAAGGTGGGATAGAGCGGACGAACGCTGATGGAGTGTCATGATCCTCCACTCACAAGATCGGGCTTGCGCAGACCGCAATATGATGCGCCGAGAAATAAATGTAAAATGGAATTGATACACCTTCATGTTTTAGATTCACTAACGACTCGCCGAGTGTTAGTACTTATATGGTCGAATGTAAATACCCACTGTGCTTGAAAATAAACGTTAGCGTGAGTTGTAAACAAACGCATTTTTTCACAGTTGTTCGCAACGAGCTCTCAAGTCGGAGTCAGTTGGAAATCGACGGTTCTGGCCGGAGTCAGAGTCGTCGCAATGTTTTTGACTCAGACTCCGAAGTCGGAGTCGACATGGAAATGTTATCCCGCTAGGAATGCTCTGGATTTTCTTCATCGACCTAAATTGCCGAATCACAGGTGGTGACCTGAAAGTTTGGTATTAGGTCGGGTCAGGGGTGGTAGGTTCCAGGTGATTATTCAAGACACAATACCGACTTATTAGCATTTGGTAGAACATTTAGAATCACTAGCAACACGCGCAGGTCTTTTCCCCTACCAGATTATAATTGGGTCACATTGAGTTAGCCGTGGGTCATTTAAATAGAAATCGGATGCGACGCATGCATCCTGTTAGCTCCACCCGTCGCTAAAGGTTTAAAACGATCGTCTAGCCGATGAGGTCCGACGGTCAGCATTTGCCTTCCTGGCGAGGTCACGGCGTAATTTATTGCCTGACCTTAGTGAATCACAGTCGCAACGATATGGGATGAGGTGCCCAAAACGGCGGAAAATAATCAGTAATAAAATAGAGCTCACCCCCCCCCCCCCCCCCACATTTGGATCAAGGTTCAGGAGCACCGTTGCCCGGACTTAATTTCACACCCCTTCCATTTTTTTTACGCAAAAATCGTCCCTTATCTACATTTGACCATTGTTGTTATCAACCTGAGAGATAAAACTAAACAAAAAACTTTATCAGAGTATAGGTACCTACAAAGTTGTATTCCCTGAGCAGAAACAGCTCATCATAACACCGGACACAAAAAGTGCGACACAGCCAACAACAGGCACTTTGGGCAACGCTGAATGGGCCACCGTATGAAGACATGCATTAGCGGTTACTCTCGGATAATAATCACCATCAACGATCTGTCTTTGTACCATAAGGCGTCTCGGCGGTTTGTACACGACTAGCCGCCGTGCTGACGGGGCAGACTCGGATCCGCGACAGATCACAGAGCCCTTCAGAGAACAACTCGACTAGAGTTTTGTCAAAACAAAACGAAACCTCTCCACTCACTACGACTCCACGAACGTCTTACACGTGAACTGACCTCCAGGCATGGCCACGGCCAGCAACGACTAGCTCTCTTGAATAAACAATACCAAAACACTCACTGACAATCCAGAACTCTGGGCTCTCCTGACTTGCAAATCGTCTCACTTGCTAGTCCGCCATCCCGTCCGTATAGCAGCTGGAATCAGACAGAGGTGATCACCGGTAAATAACCACAGGTTGTTTGAAATAGATAACTGACTAATCGTTAGAATAGTGCTTTCTATTGAAAACAACCGGAGCAGTTCGAGGTTGAGGTATGAGACGTATAAGACATAGTAAAGACGCTGACCTTTTAAACTAACTAGAGTTAAGCCGGGTCAGGAAGAAAAGTGTTTCCTCTACCGTAATCAACTGATGTTACAGCAGATTTCCCTAACTTCCTCCAGGTTAGAATGAGGAAATTACAGCTGTCAAATGAATATGTGAATAATCCCCGTCACAAAACAAGGACTCCTCTCGAATCCCTCAGATACGGGCAATCCGACACTGTGATACTTACTCTGTGTCCGCCGCGAGGTCCGTTAGCGTCGCCTCCACCACCATGTAGCGCCGGGGCGCCTCTGGCAGCGGCAGCAGCACCAGGTCGCCGACCAGGCCGCGGCCGGCCCTCTCTATCAGGTCCTCCACGCTCCGGTGGACGGCCAGCAGCGCCGAGAGGTCCACCGGCACGCCGAGCAGCCGTTCAGAGGAGGCCAGCGCCTCCAGCGGCGCACCGCCGCCCTCCAGGGGGTGCAGCGTCAGCGGCAGCTCGGCGCTCACCGCCAGCTGGCCGCCGCAGCGGGCGCACACCAGCACCAGGCCCAGGTCGGCGCCCAGGGAGGGCCGCGGCAGCGCGGAGCCGCGGTACAGAACCCGGCAGCCCGGCCGCAGGCAGGCGGCCCGCAGCAGGGACCAGACGCTGCGCGGCCCGTGGTACGAGGGCGCCGCCCAGCGGACTGCGCAGCGGGTCCGGAACGGCCGGCCGGCCGGCTGGGCGGCGGCCGCCTCCAGAGGCACGGCCGGCGGCGGCCCGGCCGGCGACTGCGGCGCCGTGCTGAACCTGTCGTCGGCCGGCGGCTCCCCCGGGCCGGCCGGCTGACCGGCGTCACACCCGTCCTGACACACAGGTCAGACTCAGTCAGTGGGACTCCGCGTCAGGACGTGATGGGAGCAACCGAACGCGCGGCAGGCTGCTGGGGACAGCGAGCCCCCCGCCCGGGCGACGCACCAATATGCTACCTGCCCCGCAGTATTTTGTTTTACGTTAAATTTCAGAGCAGCATTTAACCAAATGCATGATAGCATGCTTCCTGCACAAGTCACATACCAATAAGCATTGAGAATGTATAAAAAGTTAAATTGAGTGAAGTACCTAGAGTGTAGAAAATGTAAACAAAACCAATGTAAGCCCTCTCAATCCAGCCCAGACCTGAGTATCGACTAACCTGGGCGTAGGACGCGGTCTCAGTGCTGGCTGGTGCTGCGGTAGGAGGTACTGGGGAGGCCAGAGGGACCTCAGCGGCCGGTACCGGGGCCGGAGGGACCTCAGCGGCCGGATCCGGGAAGGCCGGAGGGACCTCAGCGGCCGGATCCGGGAAGGCCGGAGGTACCTCAGCGGCCGGATCCGCAGGCGGAGGAACCTCAGCGGCCGGATCCGCCGGCGGAGCTGCAGTGGCGGCCGGACATGCTGTCTCGCCGCGCCAGAGCTGAAAAAGAAAATACAGTTTTCATCTCTAAGATATTTTAAATTGTTAAAACATCAGAAAAGAACATACGTTATTTTCATTTTTTTACAACAATGATCAGTGCAACATCCAATACACTACACATATTTCTAACAATTATTACGGCTGCACAAGTCGCATTTAATCAGCTATTGAGGCCGTAAACGACTTCAAAACGTATCTACTGTATAAGTGAGTAGGTAACGAATGCGAGCCATTCCGGTCCGATACAGACGTGGTTGCTGAATGCTGACTCACCCGATAGAGCTCGCAGAGCGGCATCTCGGTCTGCGCGGCGGCCGACACTGTGGCGGGCGGGCCGGGCGCAGCGCCGAGCGCCGCATCGCCGCGCGGCGGCTGGAACATAGACAGCTCTTCAGGCATTTGGTTTTTACTAGTTCAAACTTACTCGTTTGAGAAACAGACACATGGCGTCTTATAGAGAAATGTTTGAATGCAATGATAAGTGCAACATTGATGAAAGTAATAACATTGTTATGTACGAATCCCACACGATCAGGAATATAAAAGGTCATGAATGACTGAAGAAACATTTACTGGATAAATACAGATTGCAAACCAGTCTGAATCCGACACAGACGCCAGTGTTGACTCACCTCGCCGAAGGAAATATCCGTCTGCGCCGCGGCTGACACCATGGAGGGCGGAGCCGGCGCAGCGCCCGGCGCGGTCCCGTTCCACCCCGGCGCGGTCCCGGCACGGCCCCGCCCCGGCCCGGCGGTCGCCGGCTCCATCCGTAGTCGGATGTCCATCACGTCATCCGAGCTGACGTCCAGCGGCAGCACGAGCGGGTCGTCGGCGCGCTCCATCGCGAACGTCGCGGCCGACGCGGCGGTGCCCTCGGTCGTCGGCGCGCAGTCGACGCGCACCCGGACCAGGTAGAGGAACCGGACGGCGTCGGCCGGCCCGCGGCGCAGCGCCTCGGCACAGCTGCGGTCAGCCACGTACACCGGTACGCGGGTGTAGCCGGCGGCCGGGTCGGAGGGATCAGAGGAGCCGGGCGGTGCGGCGGCGCCGCCGACCGGCAGAGGACACCGCGTGCCGTCCGTGACGCGCGCGATCAGCCGTCCGTCCGACTCGTCCAACGCCAGCAGGCGCACCTTGAGGTGGCACAGACCGGGTCCGCTGACGTCCGAGAGACGGGCGTCGGTGGCGGCGGCGATCCGCTCCTGGTGCGGCCGCTCCACGAGCCACCAGCGGCGCAGCCACTGCAGCCGGCGCCGCTCCGCCTCAGTCACCGGCCGGCCGGCGGCGCCCAGCGGCACCGGCGGGTCCTCCTCGGCGCCCGAGAACACGTCCAGCTGCGAGCCGCGGAACACGCGACCGTCCAGCTTCCCGGCGCGCCGCTCCACCTTGACGCTGCGCAGTCGGAGCACGTTGCCCGTGCGCAGGCCGTGGTCGTCGCCGGCCGCCGGCAGGTCCGCCGGGCTCGGCACAAACCCGAAAACGACAAAGTCCTTGCGGGGCGAGGCGTCGTCCCAGCAGGAGGGGTCCTTCAGCACCACCATGAACATGTAGGAGCGCTGAGTGTGCCGCGGCGGCTGCGGCACGTTGGTGATGACGCCCATAAGGCTGGGCCTAAGCTGCAGCGGCGGGTCGTCGAGACCGACGTCCCTGAGCAGCGTGTACACCTTGTCCGGGTCGCTGGCCGGGATGTCCCGCAGGAAGTCGGCCGTCTGGCTCTGGGCGCTGTCTGCCCACAGCTCCATCACGACATCCGATCTCTTGACAAAATGAAAGAGCCAGATAGATGTTCACATTGGGATCAATGTCAAGATCCGTGGGATCTGATCCCAGATCCACTTTCACAGATCCAAGCTCATGCACATGTCGGCAAGCAACATAATCACCATCTAGACTGCAAAGTGCATACCTTTGTATACCAATCTCAACGAGATCTTATCGATACAGGGGCACTCAGCTGATGTGCACGGTAGTGAATATTAACAGCTGTGGTGTGGTACAGATTTCCTGTAATACCAAGCAGAACTGCTGTGCTGGAGCATTAGGGGGGTCCGAAATGTATTGAAGTTGTCCGAAACCACGGGAACCGGGTTTTTCCCATAGGTCCTTTCAATACCTTTCCAAAATGGTGCGGCAATCGAAATTTTAAAGAACTTTCACCTTGCCTCAAATCGATTGAAAGTTTATCAAATTTAGCCAATTTAGTACTTCATGAACTTTCGCTTTTAACATACGTCCCACGGTTTAATGCGCAATGGCTTGGGCCGGTGATCTTGTTTTCAAGGAAAATAGCTGCACAAATCACAAAATATATTATCATGCATGCCAACAGCCAAATGATGAAATCACATTATGACTAAATACCATGTGGATTACAATAAATCACTTAAAATATAGCGTATCAAGATCCCCAGAATAGGAATCGTTTTGGTCTTTATTTGTCCAAATGAGCCATATGAATCGAGAACTTCCACCTCGCCTGAACTGAGTTGAAAATATCTAGATAAGCCTATGATTTGAGCCGCGGTCTGTTGCGAGTGCAGACGGCCCCCCCCCCCCATTGCGGGTAGTTACATGCATGTCATGACCCCTCAAGGTTGGCGAGTGGCGCTTCTCACATTTCTTAATCCTTACAACAGCAGCTGCTGTGCACTTATGCCTGGAGGGAGGGGAGATGAGACATGGCCCTCATGCATTTCCCGCAAAACACTGTGTCAACCATTGTGTCAAATGTACAGCACTGTGTCATCTCGCCTTCAGGTGATGGCGCCATGTCTACCGCAAGACAAACAAGAGCTGGGGCATCCAAGCCTCTAGTTGGCCAGCCGAGGGAGGCCGTTGCTGACCAGTGGGCCGTTGCCTTCCTGGCTGATGATGATACCAGCGGGCTGCTGGCCTTCACCGGAAGGCCGCGACTGCCGACCAGGGGGCAGGTCCTCAGCCTCTACCTCCACATTAGGCAGGTCAAGGGACAATGGTTTCCAGTCAGCGAGATCGCTGACATCGTCCTGACCGAAGTATGCAAATACTGGACAATGGGGAACATCCCGATCGGGGCCAAGAAGAAAACGAAGGAGAAGACGTTGGCCCTGATCGACGAGTACCGTAACCTGGGCAGGAACATGGGGCAGGTTACGGTACTCGTCTATCAGGGCCAACGTCTTCTCCTTCGTTTTCTTCTTGGCCCCGATCGGGATGTTCCCCATTGTCCAGTATTTGCATACTTCGGTCAGGACGATGTCGGCGATCTCGCTGACTTGGAAACCATTGTCCCTTGACCTGCCTGATGTGGAGGTAGAGGCTGAGGACCTGCCCCCTGGTCGGCAGTCGCGGCCTTCCGGTGAAGGCCAGCAGCCCGCTGGTATCATCATCAGCCAGGAAGGCAACGGCCCACTGGTCAGCAACGGCCTCCCTCGGCTGGCCAACTAGAGGCTTGGATGCCCCAGCTCTTGTTTGTCTTGCGGTAGACATGGCGCCATCACCTGAAGGCGAGATGACACAGTGCTGTACATTTGACACAATGGTTGACACAGTGTTTTGCGGGAAATGCATGAGGGCCATGTCTCATCTCCCCTCCCTCCAGGCATAAGTGCACAGCAGCTGCTGTTGTGAGGATTAAGAAATGTGAGAAGCGCCACTCGCCAACCTTGAGGGGTCATGACATGCATGTAAAATGGGGGGCCGTCTGCACTAGCAACAGACCGCGGCTCAAATCATAGGCTTATCTAGATATTTTCAACTCAGTTCAGGCGAGGTGGAAGTTCTTGATGCACATGGCGCATTTGGACAAATAAAGACCAAGACGATTCCTATTCTGAGGATCTTGATACGCGATATTTTAAGTGATTTATTGTAATCCACATGGTATTTAGTCATGATGTGATTTCATCATTTGGCTCTTGGCATGCATGATAATATATTTTGTGATTTGTGCAGCTATTTTCCTTGAAAACAAGATCACCGGCCCAATCAATTGCGCATTAAACTGTGGGATGTATGTTAAAAGCGAAAGTTCATGAAGTACTAAATTGGCTAAATTTGATAAACTTTCAATCGATTTGAGGCAAGGTGAAAGTTCTTTAAAATTTCGATTGCCGCACCATTTTGGAAAGGTATTGAAAGGACCTATGGGAAAAACCCGGTTCCCGTGGTTTCGGACAACTTTAATACATTTCGGACCCCCCTACTGGAGCATATACATGAAAATAATGTTCAGGAGAAACAGTGAGGCCAATATTTTGTCTTCCATGGCCTGGTGCAGCTATCTAGTCCTGTTACAGTGCCCGGGTGGAGCAGCTGCAGACCTCAGTCAGTCCACAAGGTCACCAAGTGATTGCATTCTACAAAGTCAGGATTAGAAAACAGCTTCATAACAGAACTGGGCTGAATAAGGCCTTAAAACTACAAAATATAGAGAATACGGTAATGGTAGCGGTAGGCTGTAGCGGCGTGACGGGTGACCGATAGTCCTATATAGGTGGCACCAATATATAATAAGCTCTGCTAGCGCCATCATTCGCCAAAAGCTGGCAAATAATCCAGCTAATACTGCGGCCCTAAAAAACGCACTTAACCATTTCAAATCAAATATTGATATTGGGGATTCGTGTCCCCGCCCCAGCCCCCCGGCCTTGACCTTCAATTGTTGTATTTTCATAATTGATAATATTTCAGTTTTGCGTAGGTACCTCGTCAGTTTGAACAAACCTTTAAAATCTTAACCCTCGCCCGTAAACGGTGTTTTGCCACCTTCGTCCATGCGGGGGGGGGAGGGGGTTGGTGCGACCCCCCCTGGTTTGAAAACGGAGCGTCGTAGAGCTTAGCGGAAAAGACCAACGGATTGCTCTCAACGAGATCTCGCGATTGGTGGTATATTTTTTGGTCCTAGGTCAACATTTGACCTACTTATGATCGGTCAAAGGTCAGATTTTCGGAAAAATCTAACTTTTTCAGATTTCCGCGCCGATTGCGGCAAAACGGTAAGAGATATCGACTTGCAACCTTCACTATCGTGATCCTTGATCAATTCTCTATCGTTTGGTGTGTATTTCGATGTCATAACCCGCGCCGTGCTGGGGGGGGGCGTTTTTACGCCCCCCCCTCAGGTTTTTCGCGAATATCTCAAAAACGGCGGCGCGCAGCGCCGCCGTTTTTGGTACACGTGTTCCTACATCATTTCCGCACATGTTGTGAAAATTTCAGACCTAGGCCGTTCAAGGTCAGGTCACCAGGTCACGTCAAGTGACCTTACCTCAGAAAAGTTCAAATTGGCTCGCTATAGCTACACCGACTGAACGATCACTTTGAAACTTTCAGCGATTGATATGAGTAACAGTATGTATAAAATTTATATCTCGGATTTTTGATATCTGTGACCTAAGGTCAGGTCAATTTTGCGACCTCTCCATTATAAGTCAATGGGAGAAAATTGAAATGCGCCTCTTTTGGACGAATATCGTTCAAAACGCTCTCAAACATCGGTTCATAGGTAAACATGACACACTGAATAGGAAAAATGCACCAGTGACCCCTCTGTGTGCCCCTGAGGTCATCTCAGGTCATGATTGGTCGCCAGCAGTTTTTTGGCTATAACTTTTGATAGAGACGTGCTAGAGCGGTGAAAACACGTCAGATGTGTTCAGCTCGACGATACGGATCGACTGATATGCAACATGACCCTTTTCGGTCAGGTCATGACCTTGACCTGAGGTCAAATTTTCAAAATGACCTTTCAAGGTCAACGAATAGTTCATTCGACGCGTCTCGACGAGAGGAACACGATGCTGGCAAAAGTCATGTCATGGCGCTTATGAGTCAAAAGTTATTGACGAAAAAACGTTTTTCGTAAAAACGGCTATTTTTGGAGTTTTTGCCCTCTCTGGAGGCTAAACCGTTGACCTGAGGTCAAATCTGAGAACATTACTCAGAAAGGTCTGTAAAAGGGCTATCGAATGCGCTTTTCCGCGGCGCTGTAGCTCTATCGGTTCCCGAGATAGCCGTTGGCAGTTTCCAAAATGTTGAAATAGTCAACATTTTACCTTTGGCGACCTCTGGTGACCTGACCTTTGACCTGACCCAAAAAATGACCGAAGTGTTTTCGTCCTTATTTTTGACGCTCTTTCGATTGCCGCTTACCGCGTGTCGCTACGTGGCCCAGGAGCCGAGTTAGACGGGGGGCGTGAAAACGCCCCCCCAGCACTCGGCGGAAAGTTCAGGCCACCAGCACGGCGCGGGATAACTCTAAAAATGATGCGTTGGGAGCATCGGAAGTCTGCAAGGTCATTTGTGCATTGGGTCACGTCAGGCGTGTGACGTCACTGACCTGACCCTGACCCAAAATGAACTACAAGAAACAACCGACGATGCCTGAAATGGATAGCAAATTCGAATTCAGGGCATCAAAATACCCCGAAAAGGCATACAAGTGCAAGAAGTCATTACAGGTCAACCGAGGTCACTGACCTGACCTTGACCTTTAGTAACCTTGAAAAGGTCAACGGACATTGTGCCAATGTCAAATCAGCCAGTTATGATTCTAAAACAATCCATCAGTGTGTCAGTCAGGTCAGTCGGCATTTATACCAATGTGAAGCAATCTCCAATTTAGCGTAAATCTGGCCGGAGGTTGTTCCCTTTATGACGTCATAACTCCGTGACCTGACATGACCTTGACAAAAAAAATACCAAAAGTTGCGCAAAGGATGCCCCATAGGGTACTGAAAATTTGAGCAGGCTATCTGAAACGGTTCGGCGTGTAGCCAAGAAAAACCTCAGGGGGGTTGCACCAACCCCCCCCTACATGGGCGAGGGTTAAAATGCTTTTAAAAGTCGTAAGTAATCTTCCAATAATTACTTTAAAATCGCGCCAGCAATCAAGAAGCAAGACAGCAAAATGAAAAGGCACGTGTCCCCAGCCCCCGTTCACGAGCTTCAGAATTCCTTTACCGTGACGTCATCACGGCGCATGAATTTTCCTTCACCCATAGAAATGCATGCAAAGCATGGTGTGTTTCAGGCGGGCTAAGGAGAAATCTAAGGCCTACATGTGTTCAAAAGACGTACCACTAAGCCAATGGATTCGTCTCATTACGATAAATGGGGTTGAAATCGAAACATTCTGCCTATATTTATCTAAAATGGGCCAATCAAATGGTCCCTGCAACTCATAATGAAGGATTTCCTCTGCGTTGAAAAATTTGTTTCGAGTGTTTTTTCATCAGCGACAGGGGAAATCCTTCATAATTGCTACCAGATTACTACCATATTCCCTCGCATTTCTGTTGCGCATTGCCTCACAAATCAGAGTTTTGTGAAGTTAATATTAATTTAATTGTCATATTTTGACTGATTTTGGCGATTTTCAATTATTTCAACGCAGCGTGGATCAGATAGCTCACATAGTTTGCTGAAGAATGTGGCTTTTGCTTGGTTATTTTCAAGTTATCTGTGATTTGGTGCGCCGTGATCGTAGCATTATACAAATTTTATCAACTTAAAAAATTGAATCAACTTTTGAAGTGAAGTTCACATGAAAAATCAAAAGTTCAAGCATAATAATTGTTTAAACATAATGATGCAACATGTGTCTCCCAGATGGAACTTAGACTGAAAATGGAAAACAGAAGATGGATCTGCGGAGTTACTGAGATCACAAGATGCTCTTGATTGTGGCTGGTAATTATTCAAGAACTAAAAAAGGTTCATATCGCACTATTTTTGTAATTTTGCTCTATTTACGTTTTTTTTTTAAAGTAAAATCAGGACATTCGCACTATTTCAAATATGATACCTTGTTTAAGTACTTTAAGCACCAATTTAGTTCCAAGCGCTCTAAATTATGGTCATTATGTAGTAAATATAGTTCATTTTGCCCTAAATCTAGTATTCCTTCTTACGCGTTAGTTTGTTTAACGAGCATGCTAGTGGAATATCCCAAGTACATCGTACATCGTACAAGTACATCGTAGTACAGCTGTGAGCTATCGCCGTTCGTGAAATACGTGGTGTTCTGACTTATGTACACTGTGGGCGTTTTGGTGTGTGCAACAACCTAGAAAGGTCGTTATAAATACATTACGTAAAATGTGTGCACGTTTTTACGCATTGAATAACTAATTCGATATGTAATGTATAACTCCGGAAAGTAGTGCAGGTTCATTGCGCCGCAAGAGATACGGAATCATAACCCAGTTCATATGGGTACGGTGTAGCCTGTCCAACCTGTCTGATGATTGATAGGTGGCGGTACACCCCCCTAGCCAGAAAAAATGTCCGTTTGCGAAGCGACGGCGCCCACCCACCGTTTGAAGGCGCCCTCTGCCTCTGGTGATAATTGAACTCATTAGAACCCCCACAAGATTCAAGATTTTACGACAACACGATCCAAAATCGTAGTTATGTGCCAACAGTAGTGCAAAAGTACTTAAAATAGTGTCATAGGAACCATATAGCTCTGAGACTACTAGTAGCCGATCTGGCAACAGCTACAGTATGAAAATAGTGCAAATAAACTCGAAATAGTGCCAAATGACTCAATATACTGCTGATTTAAGAATAGTGCCAAGTAAACTATTTTAAATGCAGACTGAACTATAAATAGGTATGTAAAAAATTATTCCCCCTTGATTGTTGGTAATTGAAGATGTTGAGAGAACTTGTGAATCTGCATACCAGTCCTGACTTGCTTGATTATTTAAAACTATTTTAATTCTCATAATTGTGTAATGTGTAGTGACTGCACACTGCGCAGCACATGTGCGCAGAAATGTGCAGGTGGCTGGTAGGTGGGTTAAACTTCAGAGATGCGAATTTGGATGTCAGTTATAAAATTAATGGTTATGCATTGTAGAGTAAGCTCTGCTGTTTTTTTTTGTTGTAATTTTGTCTTTTTATAATTGTAACCTACAATGCTGTTAGTTTCATTTTTATTAAAATGCTCGACCAGAATTTGCACTTGTTCATGCATGAATGGCTAAGTTTGGGGTGTTTATTCAACCCTGACTGCTCAAGTTTTTCAAAGGCACATGACACAGCACGGCTAGATCAGCTGGTACCTACCTGTTGACTATTTTTGTTTTTGGTGGTGATGTGTTTGCTGTTTGTCTTTTGCAAGGTGGTCAATGAAATAAAATAATGCATTATTTCGGAATGTTTCCTTGACAGAAGCCAGGAGCCGGATTGATGTGTGCTGGTGAATGAGATGGTTCAAAAGCATTATCTGATGTTTTTCAATGTGCATAAGCCATAACATCCCTTTCATACGCTGAAGTTTTAATAGCTTCTCAGTCTCTGTCATTTTCCTGAAATATTGGTGTAGATAAGAGATATCAGTACCTTCTCAGAGGTACCTGCATTCTGCTGGATGAATATTTAATTGGTTGGACGAAATGGACAGGTAGCCTTATGATAATGTAATGTGAAATCTTATTTCTATAAAACTTTGAAAATGAAGTTTTAATTATTCATATGTGCATACATTTTTGATGACTAAGAAAGTTTTCCACAAGAGTAGAAAATGTGGGAAAGTCTATCAAATCACACATTCTGAAGGCTCAATGCTGACAGAGTGCTGCCTCAAAGAAGAACTGATTTGCTGGGTTACGAATATTTCTTTATTTTAATTTTCAAATGTAATGTACAATACACTGCAGTGAAATAACAAAAGGGACCGTGTATATCACACCACGGTGAGATTTACACAATACCGGCCATTTGTGTAAATCACACCCACCCCGGTGTGATATACACAAAATCTACTACGTAGTGTAAATCACACCCGGGTGAGGAATACACAGAGAGGGCAGCTGTGTGTATATCTCACCACGATGTGACGTCATAGCAACGCTGAACGTCCATTGGTCAGAGCAGTGACTCTGCTCGCCCATTGGTCAGATCAGACTAAGCACTACGAATATTCCGGCGGGATTCCGGGCGTCCTCTCTCTCGAATTCAGCTGACCGCCTGGCCTAGTGGTGAAGGTGCTTGCACCATGATACGGATGTTGCGGGTTCGAGTCCCGTCGGTGCGGGCGCTTTTTCCCGCATTTTCGCTTTTCCTTGGTAGCGGTGGGTTCGCTGCCGACCGACAAGTTTAAAAGCACCAATACAATATGGAAAGCGACGTCTGAATGCTCGTGGCGAAGCGGTGCAGTGCCGAAGGCAATGCCTTAGGAGAGATTACAGGCAATGGTAAGTCAAATATTTTTAGGTTAAGTGGTTGTGTATCTGGCTTCAGGCCGAAGGCCTGAAGCCTGATGGACAACCACTTAACCTAAAAATATTTGACTTACCATTGCTTGCAATCTCTTCATGCGAGTACCTTCTTCCTCATCCACGGGTAGGCAAAAATCAGTAGGTCAGGTTAGGTTAGGTTAGGTTAGGTTAGGTTAGGTTAGGTTAGGTTAGGTTAGGTCAGGTCAGGTCAGGTCTAAGGTTTGGTTAAGTGTCTTGTTACCGTGCCTACTGTGTAAATCTCACCCAGGTGCTGCGTGGTTTGACACCCAGGTGTGATTTACCCACTACCGAGCACACAGTGTATATCACACCCTGATGAGATTTACACATTGGCTAGGCCTACTGTGTAAATCACACCCAGGTGCTGCGTGGTTTGACACCCAGGTGTGATTTACACACTAGGAGCACATTGTGTATATCACACCACGGTGTGATTTACGCATTTGCCGGGCCTACTGTGTAAATCACACCCAGGTGCTGCGTGGTCTGACACCCGGGTGTGATTTACACACTAGGAGCACATTGTGTATATCACACCCCGGTGTGATTTACGCATTGCCGGCCCACTGTGTAAATCACACTCCGCGTGGTGTGATATACACAGGAGTAGTGTATTGTGTAAATCACACCCGGGTGAGGTTTACACTACAGTGCGATGCATTATGTAAATCTCACCGTGGTGTGATATACACGCGTCCATAACAAAATAGTGCAGTAAAATAGTATTGGCGACGATCAAACAACACGTGCGCCATTGATGTCTGCAAAAATTGCTACCAGATTGCTACCAAATCCGTGACGTAGCTACGGCGCCTTTATTTCCCTAGTGAACCAACCTGAGTAGTAAAGTAATCTTGCGTGTCCCCACCACACGCGTCCCACACCGCGGGTCCACAAGCGAGTGGTTTGAATTGCGATAACATGCGGTATATATGCCGCAGCCGTAATAAACTGCACATCACTAAATAAAAGAACGCTAATCGCAAAGTTATTTAACTTTGGATGTTTCAGGAAGCTTTCCAATATCCTGTTTAGGAAATCATTGAAGCGTATGTATATTTTGCTCTCCTATCCCTCTCTGGAATTCCCCATACCCTACTGACTTGCCCAAGACTTGCTTTTCTGTCCAACTATTCATTCCACTGAATCTAATCCACCCACCCGCTTAAGCCGGGTTCACACCGGTTTTCCGGTCCGGAAAAATTCCGTCTGCCGGGCCGGCACCAAAATGTTGAAATTGTCGCTAGATGTCAAAAAAGTCGCTAGAACCGGAAAACCGGAAAGTCGAGCCGGAAATGTCATAATCATCAACCATCAAGTACGATAAGTAGGTACCAAGCAATCCCGCGAATTATTTTGAAATCGAACATACTTGTGTGACGGATTTACAAGTCCCTGATGCAGTTCCACCCAACCGAAAATCATCCATACTTCACTGGTAGGTATATTAGCAAGATTAATACAATTTAACATTTACAGCATGCGGGCTGGGTATCGACAAAAAGACACTAATAAATTTCAATCGCGCTTTGGCTGTTGTTGGTTTAAAAACACTTGCGAACGAAGAGGAATTGAGGGCTGGGCAGGGCGCATTAGAGACGGCGAGCTTGATATTACGCTTG